AAAGTGACAAGAAGGTTGGATAAAGATTACTTATTTAGTATATCTATACTAATAAATGGAGAGCCGATTTTTTTGTTCGGTTATACTGCGATAACTACTGAACCGATCGGAATAACACTCATATCATAAGATGCAGCGTGTTTCAGAGAAGGTTTTAGTATATGATATGTTGGTGATTAATGTACTATGCGGGCTGAGCCGCAGAAAAACACTAGTTATCTATATTATACTAAAACTGTAGAGGTCGGATGGCTGTACATAGAAAAAAAATGCTCAAAACCGAGCCAGGGGGATGTAAGAAGACAAATAGAACTAATCTAGATTTTTTTTCTAATTTTTTGTTTCTCTGTCTGTTTGTCTGTTTGTACGGGCTAATCTCCGAATGTATTGGACCGATTTAAATGAAATATCCCCGGGCAACATCTTAGATTTCATCCCTGAAAATGAAGACTTTTCATCCCTGAAAATTAAAGAGTTCCCGTGGGATAGTTAAAAAACTATAATAACTTATACAGCTTAGTACACAACAACTTTTGCAAATAATTTAGTAAAATTTGGCATGCTGATATATTGCCAATCTAACAAGTTACTTCTCATCTCGGAAAAATGAACGGTTCCCGTGGGATATATTTGTCTGTGATTTTCTAGAGGCGAACCCGAGCGAAGCGAGGGTGAGCCGCTAGTATATAATATAGTAATGGTTTTTGAAAACGAGATTAATGTAATCGTTCACGCTTCTTTCTCTTTTCCGAATGTATGGTAAACTCGTACTAAGGACATAGATATTTAATTTTGATTTAAATACATTTTCAGATTGTTAATAAGAATCGAGTTTTACAGAAAAACTATAGCAATTCGTTAACGATGCTATTAGGACTCACTTTTTGTGTCGTCTTATATAGTGTATATGACATAATTGACGTTTTATATGGAAAGTACCTAAGGTAGAGTAAAATAGTAGAGTCGGCGTACCGTGGCGAGAAGCCTTGCAAGCACGATCGATATCGTGTAACGTGGGAATATGCCAAGGAAAATATGTCATTACTAGCATTGCCTGCGGCTCCGCCCGCGTTCAGATGACCAAAAACCAAATACTTAGGTTTTACATATTAGGATACACTTACATTGCAGTTTTTGTATTTTTTCTCAGAAATAAGACATTTTCCCGCTGTAAAAACTATGTTGACCCGAATAACCAGCTATCACCATACTAAATTTCATCAAAATCCACCCAGTGATTTTTCTGTGATGCGGTAGCAGACAGACAGACAAAAATTCTAAAAACTATAGATTGGGCCTCTGTATCGATAATAATGTTTATTTCAATAAGATTTTCCAAAAAGTATTTAATCGATCGAATAATATAAATATTTAATGGAATATTTAATCGATATCGATATTTTCAAAAGTTTAGAATAATCTACATCCTATTATGAATGTCCGATATCGTAATAGGATTTTAACGTTAATACCGCACGTGATGATCTTAGATGCTTCAATCATTCGTTAGTTAATTTACTTTCAAATGAAAACTTATTGAATAACAAATAAAAATACTTTTAATAATTCGCGGAGGAAAATAATATCGTATGTCTGTTTATTGTACGACACTTATCTAAGTTCGATAATTTCTTACAACATATTTAGTGTACATCTATCTACACCAGCACAAAATTGCATGAGTCGCGATGTGAATACTTTGACCATGATTTGTGAAAATCAGACACTTTCGAAAGCATCTAAAGACAAAGTTGCGAAATCATTGCAGTCGGTCTACTCATGCTTGACACAAGTATTAAAAACTTTCACGCCATTATCTCATTATATCTATGAAATATTATAAAATCAAGGCATGTGAAAGGCATAAGTGATAGAATCAATTACCCTATTTAAAAACTCCAATAGGATCCCATCAAAATGCCACATAGAAACCAATAAATATTTATTGGTGTCTATGTGGCTTTTGTCGCTTTTGATGGGATTCTATTAGTTTTTCAACAGGGTACTTAACACTTACAGTTTTTAAAGAATTCTACAAACATTTCAATAGGTATCTACTTATCGAAGATTCTACTTTTCTAAAATTCTATTTAATTAGCAGTAAAAATTCATTAATTTTATTAATATTTATCTCGTGATCTTTTATATATAGTTAAAAGAAACGTACGTTAACGTATAACAAAAACAAAATCCTTATACCTATTATAAATAAGAAAGCGTGTTTGTGTGTTAATCCTATTTTCACGCAGCGACGAGTACCTATGTGATTTTTTTTACTAACATTTGGAGACAAAATGCAAGATATTACCTAGGAACTAGTTATAATAATTAAGTAATGCGATAAAAATGTAACATAAGACTTAAGGAAAGTTAGGTCACCGACGTAATCCACGCTGAGCCTACTCAAGGTTTTTAAAAGCCGGTCAGGACTGTATTAATCCGGTCAATTATATACAGAAGTACCGCCATTGCGGACGCATCATGATATTTCTTTATCTTTTACCTTCTATTAGATAGGTAATATCTAAATAACAAAACGATGAGGTATTTGTTTCAGTCCTCTTGGTAAAAACTAGAAAAATGTATGTATACATACATACATACATATAACCTCTTACACATACTATGTAATTTATCAACTATACCTACTTAGTTTAAACTGTTATTTTTTCATTTGCACGGAATATGAATAAGAAAAATAGTTTACATATTTAGTACATTGTCTATAATACAATAAAAAATTGTTAAATTATTACTCTTTTATTTTGTGTTACGTGTTAGATTCAGGGGTGCTTAAAGCAGACAAAATTGAAATGCGCTAGCGCAGGAACATCCATGCTTCCGGTGATCGCCGGCGCGTGACCACACCTTCCGGTAGGTGAGTTACAATCACATGTTTTGTTTTAATTTTACGCTTATTAACACTATGGCTGAACTATTAATAAGTTAACAAATGAAATTTTACTATTTCATATGTATTTTTTAGGAAAAATATTCACCGTGATCTAATGATTCCTTCAGGAATCTTATTTTGCAAGAAATTAAATAAAAAGCTTAAAAACTAAAACATCACTATAAAATTTCAATGCTAGTAGTCATATAGATGATTTTTCTATGTAATCTTGAATCGAAGAATAAGTCAAACAACTCGATTACGCTCTGCAGGAAGCCGCCAAACTGTTGCCATTACAACTAATAAGAATAGAAAGAATATTCGTGTTACAACTTACAAGCAAGCGTTATCTGTATTAATAACACTTCAACAATTACAAGATGGATTACCGATATCGAAAAATTTACTTTGATAGTTAATGCTATTTTCATATCATATATAATCATTTATCATTACTAGCGACTCACCCTCGCTTTGCTCGGTACGTTTTAACGGTTAGTATGGAATAGATATTTTATATATTATATAATGTATAGCTTATAGCCTTCCTCAATAAACGGGCTATCTAATGCAAAAAGAGTTTTTCAAATCGGATTAGTAGTTTCTGAGATTAGCGTGTTCAAACAAACTCTTATAGTAACTATACATATAATAAAATTGTATCTAAGCCGAATCTGTACATTAAACATGTTTTGGAAAATGTTATTGAAATAAAGATTATTATCGATACAGAGCCGAATCTATAGTTTTTAGAAATTTTGTCTGTCTATGTCTGTTACCGCATCACAGAAAAACCACTGGAGGGATTTTGATGAAATTTGGTATGGTGATAGCTGGTTATCCGGGTCAATATATAGGATACTCTTTACCACAGGAAAATATCTCATTCCTGAGAATAAATGCAAAAACTGCAACGTATGAGTATGCTAATATGTAAAACCTAAAAATTTGGTTTTTTGTCATGTGAACGCGCGCGGAGCTGCGGGCAATGCTAGTTATATCATAAATTAATAAACAGGTTTATTATTACGTATTGCACGTAGGTGAGTTCATAATCGTATGAGTATAGAATTAAGTACCTACTTCTTACTAGAAATCCTAAGTGAATAATGAAATGATCAATAAACTTACTAACAAGTAAAATTAATGAATTTTACAGTATGTTTAACCAAAAAGTGAAATTAACAGTCATTTTTACCATACGTGAGTTTTTTTTTTATTTTAGTAGATATATTCTGTTTAATAATACATACATATTTTTCTAGTTTTTCTATAATTATTTAATTTAAATAGATGTATTTGCTCAGTACCTATACCTATATTAACAAAACTAAATTCCTAGATTGTTTATAGAAAAGGCTTTTATATTAAGCTTTACTAGCTAAAATGGTATAAAAATGTTATTCTTTTATAAGTGTCTTTTAAACTTGCCAATTGGGATAATTTACTTCAAAAACTTTACGTAGAAAGTCAATTTCTATTTACAGTTATTAGCAAATTCATTTTCGGCCTGTTTCTGTACTATAACAGTATGTTTGCACGATAATAAAGAGCAAAGCACCGCAGAAAATGGTGGCTGTTTATTATCTTTATGTATCAAAATGAGGTAACCTTTACCTTCCTAGGCAACGCTTGTTTCGAGGTTAGATCAATATGCGGTGTATTGACGTCAAGTAGGGAGGTTTTTGTCACCTAATTCTTTGGAAAGGTTACAAGGGCGATATTTAGTTCACTAATATAGGATATATTTTTTTAAGTAGCAAGTAAAGGAAAATAAAAAATATAATATAATGCTAATCGCTTTGCATTATGCACAATATTTTATTAATTTATCGAAAAAAAAATGACCGAGAAGAATTTGAGAAAAGTAAATAATATTTTTATTATTTACTTTTAAAAATATAAAAATTTACTGAAAAATATAAAAACTGTGTTAAAATACACAACAATATATAAGACTAAAGTATTCAAGCGCTATCTAATCGCCCTTAGCTACGCATTCTTTCAAAACTCACCACACCTTGTCGCAAATGACAATAAAAATGATTAAAAATATACAAATATTTATTAAGTAAATACAATTTAAATATCGACAAATTCTTAATTACATTTGGCGTCTGTTACCAAATGAAATTCCGGTTTGTTGGCCCTTGTTGGTACCGTATTGTAGAGAAATAACGTTCTGACCGGCCTTGAGCTGCTCCTCAGTAAATTCCCTTACATTTTTATCCGCTTCCTTGGGCCCCATGGATGGTAAGCCATAATTGCCTGCTTTTCTAGCCAGAGATTGCAAGCATATTATCACAGAGTACAGGTTCTGTTTTTCCCAAAGATCAATAGTTTGGAAAGTTTCCTGTGGAGGCACACCCAATTTTTTGACAGCTTCCAAGAATGCGTTTATGTTCTCCATACACTTGAAGGCCATGGTGGATTGGTTGATTTTCTTAACTGATCCTTCTTGGAATTTATTCACCAAGTGGCATAAGAGGGTGCCATCTTTTAATACTTCGTAAAGGTTTTCAACATCTCCCGATGTATTGGCTGGTTGCCCGGTGATCTTTCTGATCCATTCGAGGGTTTCATGAGCAATATCATTATTGTACTTGCTGTTAATCCTGGCCTGAGCTTCAGCGTTTATGCCAGCCTTCCCTGCACGATATTCAGCCATGATTTGTGTTAACAGTTTTGCGGACACGTAAGCACTGAGGTCCTTGTGATAAGTAAACTACCAATATCAGGTGCATGACACACAGATTGATAGCGTCTATCGCTACATAAACGTAATCATTTAAAATTTTATCGCATTTATTATCAAAAATATGATTAAAGTATTTTATGATGTTAATTGCAATTTATAAGTTACAAAAATATCGATGAGTAAACCTAAATATTTTTTTATTATTTTTTTAAGTTATGACGAAAAAGAGGTGATAAAAGTTTGACGCTTATGTCTGTAGCCCCCAAACGGTAGATCAGATTCGGACCAGATATTTAAAAAAATAATAGCTAGGTATATGAATCCTTTTGCAAAGTAGTTTATTTTACACCTATATCTATTTATTTTACGGATCAAACGTCATGAATTTTGTTCGTATATATCCGTAAAACCAACGGTCCTAAAACAGTAGGTAGGTACATATAAACACAAGTTTATACTTAGAGCTGATGTTGAAACCTGAATAGTCTAAAATTTTACACAGTTCCTTAAAAAATAAAGCTAGATATATCGTGTTTAGTACGAGTACAATTCTATCAGTTTTGATAATTATTAATTAGTTGTCGATTACGGTGAAGAAGATATTTAAGTATATAAAATTGCTTAGTAATTTACCTACCTGATTTTAAACAACATCTTCTGTTAATCTATACATATAATAAAACTGTAGAGGTCGAATGTACAAAGAATTTTTTTAGCTAATAACTGAGTCAGGGGGATGTAAGAAGAGTAATAGACCAAAACAAGATTTTTTTTCAATTTTTTTCTTTCTCCGACTGTTTGCCTGTTTGTGATTGTGGTATTGTCTGTTTGCACAGGCTAATCTCTGAAACTGTTGGACCGATTGAAATGAAATTTTGCATGGTGGTACCTTATATCCCCAGTCAATATTTTAGTACTTTTCATCCCGGAAAATTAAAGTTCCCGTGGGATAGTTAAAAAACTTTAGTAACTTATATAGCTTAGTACACAAAAACTACTGAGTGGATTTTGATGAAACTTTACAATAATATAGTTCATACATCAGAATAACAAATAGGCTACTTTTTTATCTGGAATAATGTGCGGTTCCCGTGAGATAGGTTTGTTATTATTTGTCTAGAGGCGAACCCGAACGAAGCGAGGGTGGAGCCGTTAGTATATAAATATAAGTAGAGAGATTTTATTTATCACTGTGCTATTAATTTATTTTTGAAAAAAATTACAAGAAACAAACTAATTATTAATTATTGAAGGTCCAAAAATGACGTCATTATTGCAAATTAGACTAATTGTAAGTGTTTAAACATAATTAGCATAAGAGTCTATAATTTGTTTTTGTTAAGTCTAGAGATTACTTTCCTTCCTTATAAATTTAATACAAAAAAAATGGTACAGCAATAAATGTTAATGTTCAAGATTTATAATTTACAATAATTGCTTGAAATCAGTCAGTTAATTTTTTTATATAGTTACAAATTTATTATTTAAAATAAAGAAAGAATGTTAGAACTACTTCATATAATCAATTTTATGAAGTAGTAGGATTATATTTTATAACAAACATAATGTTTGAGTAATGACAAAGAATGTTCTAGAACATAAATTGAACAATCTTATCAATATTATTGGCTATTTAGATTTTATCAGATTCATTGATAACAATACAAAAATAGATATGTAGAATAATAGCAATTTCATTTTAAATATTTTAAATTATTTCCTTATAACTTTAGTCTTTTAAAATTATTTGATGCTATAATTTATGTCTTTAATTTATTTTTATTTGAATGTTCAAAGATTCATAAATGTTTGTTTAAAATAAATAGTGTTAATAATGATAGAGTAAAGCAGTACATAATCTGCCTACCTGGTTTGAGATAAAAAAATATTCAAAATATTGAACTTAATTGAAACCAGTTACTTAAAAATGTTAAATATTTTTGCCATTTCACTATGTAAATTATTACATGTCCAATATTAATAACATGAACCATCATAGTGAAGTATTCAATCAAATTAAATTTCAAAAAATATAATGTTTAAAAGTTAAAATGTAAAGTTGACTGCTTGAAAAATATTTTTTGACATAAAGTTTTATGCCTTATTGTAAAGTTACTAGAAATAGGTTTAATTTTTCAGAACAATGCCTCACTTGCCCAACGTGACCTTCCTAAATCTCACTGTATTGCATTATTTTATTGTTTTATTAAATTAAACAATGGAGGCTTACCTGAAACAAAGAACTTATCATCCATAGATAAAATTAGGCGGAGATATGGATCTCTAAACAATTGGTAAACTCGTAATGTTAATGCATATTGATCAGATAATATACAAAAAAATTGTTATTAATATGCACATAATAATCTTTTAATAAGCAAATTATATTTTTTTTTGTTTTTGAAATTTTTCTAATATTAAAATGTTTTTATTATAATTTATTATTTGAAACACTATTTCTATTAAATATCAATAATTTCTATTATAAAATCATATGCACATATCTATGCTTAGAAATATTTAAGTTTTATCTGTTTATTTAGTTTACATATTTAGTAATGCATATTGTATACATACTATTTATTGTCGTGTTGTAAAATTTAAGTTTTATGTGTTAAAAAAATTTCTAAATTCAATATTGATTTGAGTTACATTATATATTATATTTTATAAAAGTTTTCTTTTCAGTTATTTAGTTAGTCAGACTCAAATAAGAATTAACTTTTGTACTCCATATCATACATTAGAGGAATAAAGAAATAAGTATATTAGGTAATAGAAATATATTCAAGCTATGAATCATAGTTATAATAACCTATCTAATGCAATTAGCGGTTCCGTAACTTTGCATTAATTTTAAAACTACCTATAATAAACTTATTTAAATTACTTAACGCTCACTTAGTAAGTTTCATCTATGTATAATAATGATATGTCTTAATCATGCTAACGATAATGTAACTAAATTAGACATTTTTGACGAAAGATAATGATAAGCATTGATATCGAACATGTAGGCAGGTATTTGAAGTAGTTTTCAAAACTTTTGATACACTATCGATACTAATATTTAAAATAAGTAAATGTTTAAAACTTACTTAGAACAGGTATAATTTATCTTGTAATAATAGCACAACACAAACAGCAGTACGATTAATAAACAATATCCATTTTATTATTTCACAACACCTCACTTTCACGAGATAAAGTACCTGCCAACGTTGAACCGTCCGCGCGGTGAATATTTGTTGACACAACGAACTACACTATTCCGAGTACCGTTCGGAAACGTTCGCAAGTAACTTGCCATTCACAATTTCAAGATGAGTGCTCCTTCCCTCTCTACCGGCATGTGACATTAGTGCTGCGCTCCGATTGGCTGCGTGAAATCTAGCGATGTCCAACGGACTGATATTGTATCGATAGTCGGCTTGTATATAAGAGGTGTGAAAAAAAAGTTTTTGTGTACCTATGTACGCACGTATGAACTAAGAAGTTATACTTTTTTGGCGTAACAGAACAAACATAGCTAAAGATTTAATCCCGTATGTCACAACTCTCTGTTTGTAAAAGGAATGCAGCTAACTTCATCATATCGCTTTTTGGCTGTCGGTGTGCGCGCCCATCGTAAAAACTTTTCTCTTATAAATATTTTTTAAGTTATACTTCTTTTAGCACCTTTAGAAAAAATTTTAAAGGTGCTAAAAGAAGTATAACTTAAAAAATATTTCTAATTTGCTCCTTAATGTCGTCATAATAACAAGAATAAATTAATTTATTGGCCTTAAGTAGAATATTTCATGATTATTTTAATCTTCTATGTAAGATAAACAAAGTTATGATAAAAACTTTTTTACTTTAATTTTTTTATGTGAGTTTTTAAGTAATGTCATTTGTACTCAATTGACTTGTATCACAAACAATATTAAAGAAATTTCCTTTTAATTTGATCGAGACAAGCGACTTGCCTTTGTTTTGCTCGGATTCGTAACTAAATGTCTTTTTAGCAAACATTTATTATTTCATTTCAAAACTTTTAGTAAGAGTACACCGATAAAGTAATTCAACGGTAGTTTTTTTTAACTTCAATTATTAAAGTTACTATCATTTCTGAAAGTAAACCTCTTTTTATCGTTATAAAAAAGTTTGAAACGCTTAGCGATGTAACTTCCTGTTAATTAAAGAATTTCAGAATAGGATAAGTTATTTCAAATATTACCTACTATATATATCCAATTTTATAAACGTACAAACTGTACTTCTGTATAATATAAGTGTAGATATGATGTATTTGTAATATGGTTTATGTTGTACAATAGCACAACATATACACCAGTATAATAAACAATATCTATTATTTCACAACACTGAAACTTTCACGAGATAAGATACCCGCCAATACTGAACCGTCCGTGCGTTAAATATGTTTTGACACAGCGACATGAGATATCGATATCGATGTTTATTTTATTTTGTACAACACATTCGCAGTCTACGTTAAAGTTGACAGTTAACCACTGTTCAGAAATCGTTTAAATGGCTAAACATAATTTTAATTTGAATAACAATTATAGTACATTTGAATTACAATTTTATAATTAGTGACAACTAAGAAATTATTATGTAAAATAATTTTTGACTTAATATTGAATAAACTCCAATTTAAGTAAAGAAATTGTTAATCATGTACAAAATAAGCCATGTTACATATTTAAATAAATTGATTACTTGGATCGCGTGTATTTTTTATTCCATTTACTTATGTATTTTAGTCCAGTGAGACTGAGGAGACTACTACCCTTCTGACAAGTCATAAAAATGACTTCAAAAGTCTAAGTAATTATTCCATTTACGATATCCATACTAATATTATAAATGTGTGCTTGTTTGTTTGTTTGTTTGTTTGTCATTCTTTCATGTCGAAACGGAGTGACATATTGGCGTGATTTCTCATGTGAACATAGTTGGGAGGCTGGAGAGTGACATAGGCAACTTTTTGCCGCGTGAGGTTATCTCATTCCCGCGGGAAAACACGGAAAACTTGGTATTAATGCTCTTCAATACAATTAAATAAATAGGTACGTGTTTCGCATTTTTCAAAATTCATTCCAAAAGGGGATAAATTGGGGAATGTGAGTTTGTATGAAACCTACCTTTATTTTGAAGTTATAGCGCAATCGAAGCCGCGGACTCTACTAGTTGTTTATAAAAGTAAGGGAACCGGAATAAAGAGATTATCTTCTTCTTATTCTAAACTATTCTTTTGACCAAAATTATTTGGTTCGAGGCATCAGGCTGGGTAAGCATATTGGCGGATCATTTTGGAGGAGGCCTTAGCTTTTCGGTTGAAATTTGATTCGACTTATAATTGCACTAAGAAAAATATTTCCTAATTTGGTACATACATAATATTTTTATAAAAAACATACATATTACATATTATTTTCTTACATACAGTACATACATATTACTTTCTTCCATCAGCTTTCAACATACGATCTACTCAAAATCGTATAAATAAAGAGATATGGCAAACAAAGATATTGCAAAGACTTAAAGTAAGTTTGACGGGGGGTATAGGGGACAATATAAGACACTGATTTAGAAAACAACTACTAACCTAATGTTACAGTTGATGATGATGTTCTCCTAGCCGATTCCGGCTACGGCGGCCAATCTCATTGAGATTAGCCAACTGCGCAGGAGATATTATAGTGCTCAAGTGTACGCGCAGACACAAGTGCACTCTCTATTCCTATCACTCTCATACTCCGGTGGCACGACCACTCGACACGACCGGTGACAGTTAAGGCGCAGGACCAACGGCTTTACGTGCTCTCCGTGGCACGGGGGTGAAACACCGCCAACTCTTCCCAACTTCGGGCTGTTACTGAGACTTACTATACAGAAAGACTCAATAACTAAACTTGGCCCGACCCGGGACTCGAACCCAGGACCTCCGGGTGTGCAGCCGTACATGCTAGCCACTACACCACCGAGGCAGTTACAGTTAGTATATTATCAAGGACCTATATTAAAAATTACTTTAATAAATATACCTATGTACTCGTAAGTTGTAACTTATAATGTTAAGAAATTGGGATATTTTTAAGTTTATATGCACACAAAACATGAAATACGATACTACTTAACCATGTTACCTTCGAATGTAAATATGTACCTCTTACCCATAACACTCTTTGCCTATTGCAAATAATGTTTATAATTTTGTATTATATAAGTTAAATCGCTTAATAACATACTTCTTAAACCAACCTACCCCAAAAGCGACATATTAAATCATAGTTTATGCAGTGTAAACAAACCCAACTCGTGGTCGGGTGTGATCGTGAACTTTCGGAAAAAGCTGAGTATTGCGCATGCGCATGAGAGCGTGTGCGCACGCGGCGGCAGCGCGCTTGGGCGGGCGGGCGTCAGTACGCGCGCGCCCTCGCCATGGCTCGGTGGGTGGCCTTTTTGGCCCTGCTACTAGTCGCCGTCTCCGCGCGTAAGAACCCCCCGCCGCGATCCGAACCCCAGATCGAGGAGGTCACAGCCAAGCAGCTCGAGCGGGTGCTGGAAGACAAGGACTACGTGGCGGTGTTCTGGTGTAAGTGCTGGCGCGCTGCCAATGCTACGCGCCGACCACATCACTCGAGATTCTCGCCCGCCGCGCCACGTCCGATATTTTAGCCGAGCCCCGGTTATGCAACGGAGACAATAAAACCCGAGCCGACCGCGGCGGCGGCACCTAAAATGGCGCCGAGAATCGCTTAGGTCCCGTCTCCCCAAGGTCGCCGGGCGCCTACGCTTCGCTCGGCTAAAACTATACCAGTGTGTGCCGCACGTTTAGCTGAAATAGATTTTCATTACGTGATATTGGCATTCTGATTTTTTTAGCTTGTAGCCAATTTCGAAGTTCGTTATTGCTGGCCTCTCAAGTGTTGATTGCACAAAAATACTTATAAGTGTTAGCATTTGGTGGATGACAATTACTGACTACATCACCCCCATATTGGTTGTCTTTGACTCTGAATTACCCCGGTCTAGACGCAAAAAGTGCGATAAATCAACTCGCTCGGAACGCTAGGTCGTTTCTTGGCTGATGATCGATGCTATATGAGCAGTAGTTTTAATGGGAGCGGCTAACATTAGCCTTTAAGTCCACGTCAGAAGACATAATTTGTACCTTACCTTCTAATATCGAGCTTGGTCGAGGTTACACAAACATAAACATAAACAAAACAGGACTGCAATCATAACTCCAGCATATTTACTTAAGGTTCTATAAACGCATTAATTCAACAACAATATGAAGCTATAATAATATAATAACATAAACATAGATAGCAATACAGCCGTTTCACCTGCTACTGATTCTAAAATTTTTAAGCGGTTGTTTAATTTAATGATTGTTTTAAAGATAAAGCATTTGATGCTAAATTTAATGGCTCAACCAAATTTATTTTTATGGCTGCCCAAATGACTTCTTCGAAGTGTTTGAGTCACTTTTAAATTGTAATAAACCTTCTTGGCTTATAGTGAACAGTTAACATTGAACTATATTATTCAAATATTTTAATACGAGTACTACGTAAATATTAATGCCAAGTTTAACTTTTTAATGTTAATTTTAATTACCTCTTTCTCTTTATATTTTAGAGTATTAGATAAGTCCTTTTCTTTAGAAATGAAGCGAATGTCTTAAAAATAGTTTCAGTTGCTAAGTATAATGTGTTAGAGGAAAGACATAATTACGAAAATGCGATGGTACAAATGTTTCGTTTGGAGTTCTTCCAAAATCATCGCACGTTATCAATCTATTTACTGGATTAATAGAACTTGGGAGGTTGAAATAAAAAAATACAAGGTCTTTAAATTATTATTAAAATAATTACGAAATTAGAGATTTTCTAATGTCTTCTTTTAAAACTAAGACGTCATTGCTTTCCTCGTTAGAGGTCACTAACCTTCAAAACAACTTTACTAAAAACACATTCATTTATACCTGCCGGTAGCTGGTACTATTGATAGAAACTTCAAAAAGCTTATTATAAACTTATTTTGTTCTGTAACTTCTAAAAATATCAAATAAAAAAGAAATTGTCGATGATTCATAATCAAGATATTGGTATTAGTCTAAATGAAATTTCTAAAATATAACGTTCTAAAATATATAAATTCCATAATTTGATATTTAACTTTAACATTTTAACAATATCTATTCAATTTTTAGGGTGCCTATGTCAGCCATATTGTTTCTCAAGTCTCGTTGTGTGTTGTTGTTTATATATCTACACAATAAATACCACGTGTATGTTACCTGATATTATTTATATCCTTATTACCATAAGATTTAATATACGAGTAAATGCTTCCCTTCAAAGCGAGACGGATCAGACAATGACCATTAGACCAACAAAAGGTTAGCAGACTTTGTTGTTGGTTGGTCTTTCGAAATCTAGTTCATATCTCTAAGACATAATGATTTCCTCACGATGATGTTTTTTACCGGATGGCAAGTGGTTATTATGTTGAATTATATTATTAATTATTATTTGCCCTCGAAATATTAGAGGTACAAATATCAGACGGTTGGAATATTGGATCGCTAAACTTGCCTTTTCAAGTGAGCGCGTTCCCACTGTCCTACCACTCCTTTAGTGTCTACTACCATGAGTCTTATTACGTTTATACTATTAACAGTATATCCTATCTCAGGATTTAAGGTATTCCCATACTTAATTATATAGAAATTTTAAGACATAGCCGTAAAAAGACAGGGACTTCGTTACATAGAATTGACACCTCATTTCACTTCGCCTGGATGGTGATTATTAACGTTCTTAATATGTGATCGTTAAGGTAGAAAGCAACATACCTACAACGATCTTGTTACGATTTACTCTGGCTTCATTCGTATGTGTATGTGATTCTAACTTAATTTTTGTATTTCCAAATAAGTTAAGTACTGTTATTCATTGTGTCTAAAAGCATTTATACTAAGTTTTAACCAAATGGTAAGAAACATCATTGTTCATATAAATTTTGCGGGTGTCATTAACTTTACTAAGTATGTTAAATATCAATATAACCAATCTAAGTAGCTATCTCTTTTCTTTGTCCTCCTTATTCCCTTATTTGGGGTCGGGTCTCCTTACTTTTCTGTGTCTTGTTCCGGTAGGTACAAGGCAATTTGGATCATATGATCATCAGGTCGTCTTATCACGTGTCCATACCATTTGAGGTCGTTTTTGGTCATTTTATCTGTAATTGGTGAGAATTTAAAGCTACCTCGTATATATGTTCATATACATTAAGTACTTATCACACCTTATCAAGCCTCATCACATCTACATCATCATCACAGGCACATATTAAGTTTATTTAACCATATGAATTCAGATTCATCAAAACGCATCAAAGGCGAAACTCAATTGCAAAGATCTTACTCGTATCAATTTATTGCCTGGTTCTATTCAAGTCAGCTCGATGGTATCAATTTTTATATTATCATCGTGTTCCACACTAAGCCTCAAATTGATACGACAATTAGAGGACGATAAAATTGATTAACAAGATATGCTTACACAGCTATGAGTGAAGTTCATAAAAGCGTATTAAAAATTTAGCTCCCTTTACGAAAATATTGAAAAATCTATACTAAACGTTAAAACGTAACTACGGACGAACCCGAGCGGAGCGAGGGTGAGTCGCTAGTTGGTCTATACTAACATTTTCATTGGAAAACTATAACATGTGCCATAGATTTTTTGGATTTGAGGATATTTGAATCCAGAATGGCTTTTATTATAAAACTGGTATTACCTATTGGTACTTGTGGTTAAATTAATTCTTTAAAAAATACAGCAATTTAAAATCGGTTCAATTTGTATAATCGAATTTTAATTTTATTATATAAAAGAAAGGATTTTTATAATGAAGTAGCGACTTACTCTCGCTTCGCTCTTACTCTCGATTCGTACTCCTAGGTACGAATAATGCCGTAATACATTGTTTTCATATACTATTGGCATAAGCGGCGCACGCCATTAGAGTTCCCAGTCGGCATGATTTCTTCCGACATCTTCAATAAACACCGACATATTTCAGACAATTTACCAAAAAAACTTAATGAATAATACACCAAAACTTTCCCAATGAATCACTCAGTCTATTGGTGAAAACTGTATGAAAATCCATTTCATAGTATTTAAGTTTATCGCGTTCAGACAGAAATTTGTTTTATAATAATATGTAGTGATAAGAAGCGCTAAAACAGTAATTGCTAATTGTAGGTATCTATAGTACGTGCCTCTCACCTTGAACCTAAGAATAAATAATAAGTTATTTATTTGTAACCTTGAACTGTAATAAACACAATGTCATTAACACTTTCATCTACCATTTATATTTTTTTAAGTAAACATTTTTATACGAATTGAGATATAACATATTAATAGCAGATAGTACGCAACATGTACAGTAGGTACTTAAAGGCAATAATGTGTTAAAGTATTCAACGCACGATATTCAATTCATAAGCAAATAATATCAAATGTATAATACAAATAATCTGAATCTATTTTAATATAAGTTACGGTGGCAGAAATCTCGTTTTGCGTGCGTCTGACGTAGATACCGCTTTTCTCTTTATGAATCAGACCTCGCTGAAATATTTGAATTGGGTAAGCTGGGTTAAACTTATCTCTCCTAGTTTTCTAATAGCCAGTTATTATAAGTATTGTCACATTAGATGATCTTTACAAATAACAATGAAATGATGTCTGTTGGTAAGCATGTCATTAAAGAATGAAGAGCGGTTTGCCTAATTTGTTTTTAAAAATACTTAATAGGCTGCATATGGTTTCTAAAGGAAAAAATTGGAAAAGTTGCTCGGAAAATTGGGATTTTCGAGGTAAACTGAAAGCGCTTTTTCTCTATAATTATTTGTATGAACTAACGAAGTTTATTGAAAGGACGATATTTAACGAGTAAAACTATTTTCAAATAACCTGAAACATGAATTTTCAGACATTTTATTTGCTGCAAGCTCAAAAGTTTGCATTAGACTTTGATAAGTTAGAGTTTACTCTTTACGAAAGAAGTTTATATTTATAATCGCAGAAACTGTTTTACGTCTGTTAATTGCTTACGTTTCTATAAATATAAAAATATATTTATAAAATATTCGGCGTATTCTTCACACTCTGCTTTAAATTTCATATTTTGGAAAAGGACCATTATTGACACAGCATCTCTGTCGTCTCGCATTGCTTACTGTTTCAGAGATGCAACTTCCTTTACATTTTTTATCATGGACCTACACAGTACTAGGGCTGACTTTAAAGGAGGGCTGTCGAGGCTCTACCTCCAGGGCCCCATGTTACATGTTAGGGACTCCTACATCAGTGATTTTTAGGTGTTATGATTGCAAAATTTAAAATAATATAATTAAATTAAAATATAATTTAAATACTAGGTATGTAAATATACACTAGTATTTAAGATCTCTACAGAGTTCTATGAAAAAAACTTATTTGTTACTGGTCCTCCCTAATTGTCACATAATTTGTTGTTATAGATGCGGACCCGGCCTTACGCATTATTTGTTTATACTGATGGTAGCAGGAACACAACAGCTACGTACAACGCTAAGCATTTGTATAGAGATCACTTTAAATGATAACACCCCGACTATCTCATTAATATTATAAATGCAAAAGTTTGGCTGGATGGATGTTTGTCACTCAATCACACCAGAGCGGCTGAACGGATTTGGGTGAAATATGGCACAGAGTTAAAATATAATCTGGAATAGTACTTAGGTTACTTTTATCCTGAAAAAATAAACAGTTCCCGTGGGATAGATTTGTTTCTGTTTAAAATAAAAACGAAAATGCGTTGAAGCAATCTAAGTATTTCACAACATTAAGATCCAATATTAAGCTAGATAGGTTCATACTCGACTCGCAAGTAACTAAAAGACAGCCAACAGTCGACATTTATTCAGGGTTTAGAAAGATTGAACTTTAGCAGTTTTTATGTTAATAATAATAATAATAATCTTTATTCAAGTGACCAGTGACTCATAATAGTAAACAATAATTCTTAGAGACTAGGTTAGTTATATTATTACATTTTTTTTAAATTAATGTTACAATACACACGAATATACACACAGCACAGCAACACAATACACACGGCACAGTAACGATTCATGTATATGCAATCCAGTCTATTTGCTATCATGCTCAGAATTCTGTTGGCACTACCCCGTACCCTACGCACCAGAGACCCACACTTTTTTCTCATGAGGGCGTAAAGACAATCAACACGCGCTTCAGCGAACATCCCTGAGGCGTTGCAGTATCGAGGTAGCCCCAACAGCACCCTGAACGCGTTATTGTATTGAACGCGGAGAGCACTATAAGGTTTTTGAGTATATCCTGCCCATAGGCTGCACGTGTAAAACGATGTACAATATGCTCTAAATAATGTTATTTTAACGTTGGGTGAACTACGTGCAAACCTACGAGCAAGCATATTCGCTCTCACCGACAAAATAATAACTGCATTAGTTATACAACTGAGTTATACAGCAGTTATTATTTATTGCTCAGCTAAATTCTTTACATGACTCATCCGAGCAATACGAAAAGATTTTTATAATTGATTCCTTAATGAAAATTAAAATTCTGATCTTATACCAATGTTTTTTTTTATAGTAACTTAGTAGAAAATATTGAGTAACATTATCTAACCACATTATACAAAGGAATTGAGCTAGCAGCATTCCGTTTAGAAAACAGAAACGCTACTCGTGCAATATTGGTAGGTACATGTATCTCATTGTGTGTTAGAAACAAAGAGATGATATAAATAAATAAATACGTAAAAACATTCGCCTAAAATTTTTGAGTATTTCCAAACCCCAAACATCTGCAGTATTTACTCTACACCGATCTTAATATTAATGTATTTGTTTGAGTTTTTAGGAACAAGCATATCTTTTAACAGATTTAGATGGATTTGTTTATAGTAGCAATCATTAACATTCACTTTTAGTTCTCGTATGTTCTTTATGTAAGAGCTTGTCCATCTCATGGCGGCTGTGTGTTGACTAGATATGATACATTATTTTCTACAGAAACAGAAATATTTTGGCATTTTGGATTTATTAAAGTTTTAATTCACTGAAAATTCTTTATCATGACCATTATTTTGTTATACCTACCTGTTTTTCTACAATTTGAGAATAATTGTAAACTAGTTTTACGTTTTATCAATATTTACATTTTTTACACTATTATTCAGTAGTACTAACAAAAAAATATGTTACATACAGTATTCCATCTTCATACAAAAGGTCGGAAATCGAGTTATACCTACGCGCGTCGCGGTCGGTATACACTCGGTAGACAACCGTGCGGGGCTGCCACATCGTATAATTTGATACGAAAATTTTATAAGATGGTTATGTTATGTAACTTTTATAATTGGATACAAAAATAAACATTTTATTCCTCCCGTAAATTCGCTATTATGTCAAATAAAAAAAGTATCGAGACATCGTATGTTTTAAAAATAAAAACTAATTAATTAAATTAAAAATTAAAGTATTTTTAATTAAACTTTTGATCCGAATGCGGATTCTTCATACTATTAAATTTAACAATAAAGCTTTTCGTATGTCTCAGTCGAGGTGCAAATATTTTTAAATCTCAAATTTATAAGGGTCACATACTACCCTTATAAATTTGAGATTTTTTAATTAAATCTACTAATAATATTTTTTAAATAAAATATATAATATTTGAAATCACAAAACTAGAAAGAAACTCAAGTAGGTAGATGAAATTTAAATACTGGCCGGTGGGCACTCGGGCAGCCCTGTCGCGTGGGTACGTGCCGCTCGGCTGTAGGTAATTATTTCAAGGACAGGCCCGAGTTGGAGTACTGTATGCATTACATTACCGTGCTTACATTAAATATAAATTTATCGTTGACATCTAGTCAACTTTGTTCGTAAGGTCAAAGGTGGCATTAACAAGTATTTTATTCTAGGAGAGAAAACATTATACAGTGTTCTAAAAGATAAAAACGTTATGCATTTGCAATCAAAGTCTCTTTTATAGACTTAAAAAGAGTTTGGAAAAAATGCAGATTTGGAACACAGTCGTTAAGGTACAGCAAATGATTGGGCCTCGTTTCGTGACATATTGTCAATAATTTAAACAATGTTGCCAACAAATACATATAATTCAATCTCAGTTTGCAGAATTTATTGAAGCATGGACATCGCACTTCTCTTTATACTTTCCTCATGAGGTTAACTCATCGTGTGTCATGCACATAATAGTCTTAGTTTCTGGGCCAAGTGCACTAAAATATTTTTACATTTCAATAAAATAACGTTGGTATCGATGTTTGAATAAATGTCGTATCTTGCCATCTTGGTTCCACCCGCATAAATATGTTAAATAAATATGTTGGGACATTAACACACCATCTACTTCGCTAAGCTAAGCTACGAGGCTTGTGTTATGGATACCAGATAGTTGTTACACTATACATATATAAATTTAAATACATACGTCTTATAAATACAAACGTCACACAAATGAATGCCCCCAGCGGGACTCGAACCCGCGACACACAACAAGTAGGGTCACTACAAACTAAGCCAAACGTGTCGTAAAATAGTATCGTCGGCATAGGTATGTTTAACCAGTATATTATGTTTATGTTTTTAGGAGCAAGGACATAGGACTTCTATATAAACTTACGATAGCTTTTATACCACCTTAATTCGGCCCTGTCGCACAAGTTATTCTTAGCTATTGTAGCCTATTTTATATTGCATCCTATCAAATAAACTAACTGCCCTCCGAATTTTAAACATATAGATGTTATGAGTGTGCTAGCGGAATTTGTTTATACGATATGTTACGAACTGTGAGTTCGTAAATCTGAAATTTAAAGCACTTGCATTACGTATGTTTTGCACTATGTATGTTTTCTTACTCCGGTTTACAAGAATAAATCGTGGCGGTTCACTAACATACCTACGCAGCACGTACACATTTCTGTCTCTATTCAGTAGTCTCTGAACGCTATTTTTCACCACTAGTTACACTTTCATTATAAATTTACTTCACTTTTCTTCAGTTTTTCATTTTCTCGTATTTTTTCTGTCTACTCTTGGCTCGAAATTCAACTGATCTCTCGACACACTGCCGGCATTTTTATATGTATAAACAAATAACATATTAGTATTTGAAAATACGAAACTTTTGTAGTAATTTCTAAGGAATTGTCCTTTCTGGAAAATGTTTTGATTCTCTCTCACACACGGCAATTTACGATTAACTGTTCTTGTCTGTTAATTTAAATGTGTTGACAATTGTCTTAGGATGTATAAAGCATGCTTCAGACGTGCCTTTTTTAATTATTATTTATTAAAACTAAAATATGTACATAGAAAATGACGTGGACATTTAATAATTTTGTTATAATTGAAGTAGAGATTTCGTCCAGCGTACATTTAGTACGACTACTTTAGTATCTTCTTGAGATATCTGCGTCTATCTTCGAGTAGACATACATATAATAATATTATAATCATGTATGTATGTATGTATGTACCTATGTATATATGCTATGTTCTATGAAAATGGTACAAATAATTTCAGTGGTAACTAAATTCAACCCGTGTAATCAAAAATCCATCACATGTTAAGGAACGTGGGCCGCTCGTGTAACATTGCCTCGTAAAATCCAACAGCAATCGCAATTTCTTCATTTGCACGTTTATAAGTTTATTTTCACAGTGCAGTGTTTAAAATATCATTGAAGTCCATATAACCGCAGAGGTCAGTGTTATTCCGAAAATATCGGTTGTAGGAGTTTTATTATAGCTTTAAATGTTATATCTAAATATTTATGTTTGAAACTACATAGCTTTATGTGGTTCTTTACGAGTATTTTTATACTTCTTATTTTTTTTTCGAAAGAAGTCTGGTTTCGTATCTAATTAATTATTTTTATAAAGTGCTTTTTCATCGACATGTGTTGTTTCCAATCATTCTAGTCTCCGTTTTCCGATTCCCAGAATTTATACATCGTCAAAATGTCATTGTTCCACAATGCCACTGACACTGTACTTAGTGTTTCGTAATATTGTATGAAATAGAGGCAACTAAAAGAAACCGAGCAGTTATTAAACAACTAGCGAAATTATAATATCACGGCTTTTGAAATAACTCTGCGATATATAGATTAATAATTACTCGCGCATATCTGCGATAAATAGATATATTATAGCGCTAGAAGTCGAATAATGGGTTATATTCTCTAACGTTGTTAATGTTTAATACTTACAAAATGTACCTTCATATATGAATTCCAAAACCGACCAAACTTTTCCAATAATACTGAAAATGTCTATGGATTTTTTTTGCGAATTAGTGAGAATTTTATTATTAAAAATCAAAATTTTTCAAATAACTTTTCAGCAAATGCTCACATCTCCTTTACAGATGCCAGGAGTTGTGTCACGTGTGATAAAGTTCTGGAAGAATTAGAAAAAATAGACGATGACACTGACACGTTCGGCGTCGACTTTGTTAAAATCAACGACAAGAGGCTCGCCAAACAGTATGGCATTACGAAATTTCCCGCCCTCACGTACTTCCGTGAAAGGGAACCGATCATTTACGAAGGTAATTATAATTTTTATTTATGACTAAATTTGAACTGTTCGTCTGTAATTAAAAAATAGGCTATTTTCACCATACCGTAATCTAAAGAATCGCTAAGTTTGTTAAGAGAAAGATATAGTCTACTTTTAATCCCAGGAATAGAATAAGATTCCCGCGGGATAAGGGACAGAAGTTTCATGAGTTAATTGGGCCAGGGCAGGGTAAAAGCTGAAACTGTTTATAAAATGAGGAAATTTGTATCTGGCGCCATAGCGTTCTCTGTCTGTTCATTCACTGTGCGCTATGCTTTACTCCATGGTGATAATTTCTATAAGTTTATCACAGCACGCTCATATTGCTTTACAGTTATAAATAATACAGTAAACATTTGAAAAGGATAGAGCAGAAATAAATATCATCTGATTCGAATTCAATTTTTCAATTTGTTAATTAGTGCGTGACAAATTGCTATACATCACATTAAATAGATCGAAATAAAAAAATCTAGATCCATTTGATCTTAGCAAAGTTTCTACATTGATTTAACAAAAGTTACTATTGAATAACTCAAATAAAACACAAAATAAGTACTTATTATCTGTAGAGTTCATAAATTTTAAAATCAGCATCTAATGTGATGTGTACTCGTTATTATATGTCTAGGAACAAATCGTCATGACTGACACTGATACTAGCAATAGATGAAACAAATAGAAATGTCTGCGAGGTTGATCTTTTTGGCACCTGATCAGATTTAATTAACTAACTTACGTTTTAAATATCCAACGCTTAGTTTTACAGACGTCTTTAAAATATTTTAACATTAAACCATTTTTCTATGTTTATGTTAAATATTCATTTTGTTAAAATTACATTCGTTAGTTAAATATGAAATTTGACTAGTTTCTACTATTTATACATATATTTTCATATCTTAAAACCACGCCTAAAGAAATGATATTGAAACACATCCCCTGTATTTGTCATGCTCCTTTTAAAATACCATATGCATAAAATTATTTTTATTCTTAACTTCGATATTTTTGCTACTTTTTAGGAGATCTCATGGACGAGGAGAGCGTTTTGGATTTCCTGACGAGCTTAGAAGCAATGGACCTTCCTGACCGGATAGAAGAAGTTAATCAGAAGATACTCGATAAGATCATCGAGGATACAGAATATGTGGCCGTTCTCTTCTGTACGTATTGTTACTAACTTTGTATTACTAAGGAGGTTTGTTCGAGGACTAAATAAGCAAATGTGGTAAAAAAAATTCCATCTTCTTAACTAACATAAGTAAAATGTTTAGAAATTTTTATATGTAGAGTTATTGAGTAGATAATTCTCTATCGCTTCCACTGTTTAGTATTAATCTAAACTGTTTGTAAAGGAGTACATTGTGCTGTGTGTTTGACAGTGTTTTTCACGTAGGTCCTGATCACAAAAATTGCGGCCCGATGAACAGTAAGTAAACGTTTTCAGCTGGCGGTATGTTTTATATTTATGTCGTTGTGGCTGTTACTTCTAGCTTTTTAGAATAGCGTAATTCAATGATTCCGACGCTTTCAGTGCGGCTGCGGTTGGCAGTTTTGGATTGTTATCGGAAATCAGGCTAAAAATTGGCGGCTCGATACAGTTTAAGCGAACATTCATTAATGTTTTGGCCAATTAAATATTTGGCTCTGATGCAACATATCACAATAGCATGATTCATTTGATAAACTGTATCGATGGTCTTTCGGTGTTATCAATTTAATGTTTTATATACCACGAACTCTTAATTTCTTTAGAAGTATATAGACATTATTATCTCTTCAAAGTAATTATTTTCTAAAAATAATATAAGGTTCAATTGTCTACTATAGCAAAGACTAGAATCAAAAACGCGTTTGCATTAGCGGAGCGTGTGGCGAGCTATTTCGGCAGTTCTATTTTTGTCTTGCCAGCAAGCTCGGATTGACGGACCGACGTGTCACGAACAAGACATCGGTTACATTCTTCGCTCTTAACGACTACGGTCTATTAAAAACCTTGACTAGGAAGTTGATTTTAAATCTTATTAAAGCCAATACTATGGTGACCTTGACCTAAATATTTGAAGGTAAAAAGATACTCTAAAGGAAACAAAATTAAACAAAAATTATAACTAAAATGTAAACGTTTACCGATTTAAAAAATAAAAAGATAAATCTCTTATTAACCGAACTTTAATGTAGACACATAATTAGCCCTGTGGCGTCTGATTTTGGTGAACCCTAGATGGACTAAGTTTTAGGGCTGCCCTTTATGTAGACAGTACGTAGTTATCCTTTCCTTTTAAACATATTAAGACACAAAATATCCCACTTAGTGACCTATTCAGAATTTAAGTATAAACCAGTGATGATTGACAAAGAACTCTGGCACCAGTACACCAGGACCACTTGCACAACCATTGCACGACACAAAACGCTTGCCATAGCATACACTACAATTAATTTTCTTTTAACACACTGTTACCTGAGCAATGCGCTTAACAGCACTGCTTCGAATCCTCTACGAAGCATGAATTTTAGTAGGTACACACCTTCTTACATAAAGACTAAATATTTTAAAGTAGACAATTGCATGTTTCAGACAAACCGGAATGCAAGAAATGTGCAAAAGCCTTACAAGAGTTAGAAAATATTGACGATGAAGCTGACCAACTTGGTATAGGCTTCGTGAAAATCCACGATGAGGAACTAGCTGAAGAGTACAGTCTTGGAGATTTGCCAAGACTAGTCTACTACAGGCATCAAATACCTATTATTTACGAAGGTTTGTGAATCATTTATCCGCTTACGAGTAACTTCTTCTAATTAACATGTGATGTTTTAAGGACAAACATATATTTTCATTTGTTTTTGTTTCTTACGGGTAAAAATTGTATACTTCTCAAATGGCGTTTACTTGCTTCATTTTAAGGTGAACTAAGCAAAGAGGAGGACGTTCTGGAATGGCTCATTGCAAACAAGTCGACTGGGGACGAAGAAGACGTGATTGAAGATGTCACGGCCAAAACTCTTAACACTCTTATTGGAAATGTTGATAATCTCGTTGTATTGTTTTGTAAGTATTTAATTTGTACAGCATTTAACGTTAAAATGTGAATGATCTATAGATATTGTTGATAAATATATTCAAAATAATTCGTTATAAATAGACAACAGTTGTCATATACATTTTTTATATAAATATTTTTCAAAGATTTTTTACAGAATTTAATTATAAGTTGTAGAAAAAAATTTAATAAGATCCGCTATTTTTAAAACACTTTAGTTTTAGAACGATCACATCAGTTTAACTCTTAACTACTCTCATTTCATTCAAGTATTATACAGTTTATATTTATGTAGGTATTAAGTACCTACGAAATGAATGAATTGAATGAATGAATAAAATATCTATACTGATATATTAAAATACTAGAAAATATTTAATATAGCACTTTGTACAAATAATTTTGGACAAATGTTACAGACGATCATGGTGATGAAGAATCAATGACAGTTCTGGGTGAGTTAGAAAAAATTGACGATGACTGCGACCGACATGGTATTCAATTCGTCAAAATTGATGATAAAAAAGCTGCTCAGGAATTTGGCATTGATGATGTTCCCTCGATTGTCTACTTCGAGAAGCAAATCCCCAATGTTTACGACGGTAAGCTACTTTTATTGGAATATATTAAAACCATATACATACGAAATTGACATGATCGATAACTTTACCTAATATCTTGCGATAGGTGACCTCGAGAACGAAGAAGAGATGTTAGAATGGCTAGTAGATCAACTAGAAAAGGATGAAATTGAAGATGTCACCGATGAGATGCTAGATCGCCTTATTAAGGATGGAAAGACTGTTGCTGTATTGTTTTGTAAGTATAGGTTTATTTACTTTTCTATCAATTGTATGTTTATTAATTAAACACTGATGAATGAAGTGTATTATATTGAAATTGATTTCGTTATTACAATATTTTCAGATGATAATAACGATCGTAAATCTCAGAAAGTACTAAATGAGTTGGAAAACATTGACGATGAATGCGACCAGCTCGGCATTGCGTTTGTAAAAATCGACAACGATGATGAAGCCAAGGAGTATGGTATCGAAAAAGTTCCAACTTTATTATACTTTGAAAAGGGCATACCAACATACTACGAAGGAAACTTAGAAGAAGAAGAAAAAGTTCTAAGTTGGTTACGACATCAAACTGAGAGTGATGAAATTGAAGACATAACAGACGAAATGCTCGACTTAATTATTGAGAAAATGCCATATGTTGCCGTTTTGTTCTGTAAGTATTTTTCACACTTAAAACATGCGACCTTAACATTGGACAAAATATTTGATTTTATGCCAGGATTTACTTTCGGTTCGGCATCACAACCAAACATGTTGTATTATTATAATCCAACAATTTTAACTCAGCTTTTCACTACTTAAAGAACTGACATAAAAATGAGATACAGTCTTTTTCATTCATTCCAGACGACAAGGACCAAAAGAAAAGTCAGAAAATCTTGGCCGAATTAGAAAACATTGATGACGAATGTGACCAAAATGACATTGCTTTTGTCAAAATAGATGACGATAAGGAAGCTAAAGAATATGGCATTGAAGCTATTCCAACAATGGTGTTCTTTGAAAAAGGAATACCACACGTTTATGAAGGTGATCTAATGAAAGAAGAAGAACTTTTGGGCTGGTTGTTGCATCAAAAACGTCATAGTGAAATACCTGAAGTCACAGATGAGATGATGGACAAACTTATAGATACTGCTCAATATTTAGCTGTTATCTTTTGTACGTATACTGTATTTTTGTTTTAATAATAATTTTTAGAACTATGTTGAATTATTGTAAAACACTTAAATGTCGGTTACAATAAAACTTATATTTTAATAAATGGGTGGAGTGATAAATATATTCTTGATCATTTTAAGATTTTATACTTTTATATTTGTAGATGATAAAGAAGATAAACAAGACATTAGAATCTTAAATGAGTTGGAAAATATTGATGATGAGTTAGAAAAGGAAGGTATTGTGATCGTAAGGATTGATAATGAAGAAGAAGCTAAAGAATATGGCATTGATCATCTACCTACACTTATTTATTTCGAGGAAAATATTCCTGCTATTTATGAAGGAGACCTTCTAAATGAAGATGAAGTGCTGGAGTGGTTGATTGAGCAGAAAAATAGCGCAACTATTGAGGAAGTAACTGATGAAATTTTAAATGATCTTATTGAAGAGCACGAATATGTAGTAGTATATTTCAGTAAGTTTTTTAATCATTTGATCACGTTCAACCGAAGTTTTAAGTGAGGCTGTGTCTATGCTATTTTTTATATACTGTAATTGTTTGTTATTTTTATATCGTGATTATTAATAGTTATTAATAATTTTTTTCGGGACCCTGTAAGCAATGGTGTTCTTTGAAAAAGGAATACCACATGTTATCATCGTTTTTCGACGTTTGTCGAGCATATAAGAGGTTGAATAGCTGTATAAATTATTAATTACATAATTATTATTTTTATTTCATTTAGGTGGAAAATGTGAAGAAGGAGAAGAATGCGACAACATTTTAGATGAATTAGAAAATATTGACGATGAACTTGATGAAACTGGTATTATTTTTGTAACAACTGAAGATATATCATTGGCTAAAAAGTATGGAATCAAAACTTTCCCAACTCTAGTTTTCTTCAGGAACAAGGAGCCTCTGGTTTACAAAGGTACTTTTTTTATTTTCAAAAATTTTATATGAAGACTAGAAGTCAGAATCCGGAATATGTTTTTGCTATAAAACTTGGCCACCTATATACATCCCCTGAGAAATTGAATTTAAAAAATCGTTTTTTAGCTATTGTCATCACAGGTATAGGCTGTCAAAATATGAAGCCTTTACATTAGTCTAAAGGTATCCTCTGCATGTTGATATTAAGAAAAAAAAAATTTTACAGGTGATATTGAGGACGAAGATGAGGTGCTTGCATGGCTTACCGACGAAGATACACTTGAAATTCCCGGAAAGATTGAGGAAGTAAACTCTAAAATGTTGGAAAAGATATTACAGGAAAATGACCACATTGTCGTATTTTTTTGTAAGTAAAGAAAATTTTAACATTTTATATTTTTTTTTTAAGTCATAATATAACTCTTAATGTTTTAAGACAAGGAAAATGATAAGAAGTCACAAAAGATCTTGAGTGAGCTAGAAAATATTGATGATGAGTGTGAAGAGAAGGATATCGATTTCGTTAAAACGTCTGACGAAGGAGTTGATAAAGAATATGATCTTCCGGACTTGCCTGCATTAGCTTTCTATCGGCATAAATTTAGGACAATTTATGAAGGCGACCTTATGCACGAAGAAGCTATTCTGAAATGGGTATTAGAACTTCATGATTCTCAACCAGATGTAATTGAAAATGTCGACAGAAAAACTTTAAAAGATCTTATAGATGATGTTGAACATTTGGCAGTGTTTTTCTGTAAGTAAATTTTAACTTTATAAAAATAACCTACTTTGTTTCAAAACAAACATTACGTTTAAATATATATTTTTTTCGTAAACAATATGTCTTGTAAAAAAATATTCATTTTTACTTTGAATTTTTAGACAGTGAAAATTGTGACACTTGTGAGGAAATCCTAGAAGAATTGGAAACAATTGACGATGATACAGATAAGCATGGAATTCAGTTCGTAAAGTCAAAAGATTCTAAACTGGCATCTGATATTGGCATTTTCAGTTTCCCCGCTTTAGTGTACTATGAAACAGGAGTACCAATTATGTATGATGGTAAGTGTTTTTTAGAATATACAGTAATACAATTAATATCTGACATAATAATTAATAAACATCTATATACTTTTTTTAATGTTGTATATATAATACACCAATTGTATTAGTTTCATTTTTTTGGTTCATGAAAGTGTCTTGAAATATACTTAGCATAGAAGGATAAACCGTTTTCCTGTTTATAGGTGACTTAAAGAACGAAAATAAGGTTCTGCAGTGGCTAGTAGATCAAAAAAGTAAGAATCCACATCCATTTAAAAACTTTATAATGTAATATCTGTTTAAGCTCTAAGGATTTGTTGATTTATTACGAATAATGAGTTACAAAATATTACGTGCATGACATCATTCTTGACATCTCTTTAAATAAAAATGTTTTATTATACCTACGCCTAAAATACTGGATGTTTGAGCTATGTCATTTTGCATGACAGTTACTAATGCCTGCAGGTGAAGATAGCCACCGACAAAAAAATAAAGCTAATCCTAAAACAAAGGCCAATGCAGATGTTGATAAAAAAACGGGGTTTCCACGAAGTCAAAACACAGTACCTAAGAAAAATCTTAAGCCGACCGAGTGGAGAAAAGTTGGAAATTTAAAGGTGGTTCATCCAGCAGTTGGAGAGAAAAAACGCCGGGATGGCAACGTCAATAAAAAAATTAGTATCAAAAACAATGACGATGATGACGATGAAGACGATAGCGATGACGATAACGATGACGACGACGACGACGATGACGATGACGACGACGACGACGATGACGATGATAACGATGATGATAATGACGATGACGATGATAACGGTGACGATGATGATAATAGCGATGACGACGATGAAGATGACGATAATGATGAAGACGATGTGGAAGAAAGCAGTATAAAAAGTTTTATAAAACAAAAACTTTCATTTTTCAATAGCGCACCTAAAAAAGACTTAGCCAAGCTTAAAATAAAGCACCCTAGTAGTAAAAAATATATTAAATCCCGTACTGTTAAAGACGATGATGATGATAATGACGAAGACAGTGACAATGATGATGGTAATGGCGATAGTGACGATGGCGATGATGAAATAGACAACGACGATGACGGCGACGAAGATGATGACAATGACGATGATGATGATGATGACGATGACAATGACGATGACGATGACGACGACGATGACGATAACGATATTAGAAAATATGGGAAAATATATAACTATAAAGTAGGTAAAGCACGTCATTATAGCGGTAACGACGACGATGATAATGATGATGATGACGACGATAATGAAGAAAATATATTCAGTAGGATAAAGAAAATGTTTACAGGTAAATTAGTAAAGTTGAACCCTGAGATGTGGCCCTGCACGGAGGCACGGATGTACCCCAATCACACATCTGCATGGTCGAATAAGAACCCGCATGGGTCCTTACACCAGCTGTTGCCTGCAGTCATTCGCGAACGCTTACCAATTATTTAAACGTTTTTCACTTATTACTAACATAACATTTAGATTAGTAGCGCGCCTTACGGTATGCGCGCGTAAATTACAAACATGCACAGTATTAACGCAGTTAACTTTATTTATTTAGTAATTTTGACGGGTATAAACAACAAATTTTTACTGACTGCAGGCGATCGCTGTTTCTACATTGGATTGGGGGCGAAACCGGCCGTCCCAAAAATGACTTACGAACCCTACCAGTGCTGTCCCACTAAAGTACAGAGCCCGACAAAAGTAGCGAAGGCGACCCCAACCAAGGTTCCTGCTAAGAAACTCGACAAGGATAAGCAAGCAGCAGGCGAAAAATCAGCTAAGGGTAGAAATAAAGCCCTGGCCAAACCAGAAAAAACAGGAAAGGGCAAAAAAGGTTTATTCGGCTCTGATAATATTTGGTGGTGGTAAAAAGTACTTAAATGTTAGATAGTGACAAACGTCACATAATTCGATTGTTAGAAGCGCTCGCGTGCGCGGTATCAAGCGGACACGATAGTTATTCTTAGCGCAATACGGTTTCTCCTCCGAAATATTCTAATCCGGCCTAACTGCATCGAATATAACGTATCATATTATTAACATTAAAGCTTCAATAACCTCGTGTCCCTTGATCCCTGCAAGCACATACCAGGGTTGTATTTATATATTGCATACGGACTGTATTAATAAATCAACAGTAACTTCATATAAAATTATAACATCTGAAATGCGAATGCAGCCCGCACTTATTATGTATGTATATCAAGATGTTATGCTTTTGATATCTTTATGTTCATTGAGAACTTGTGGAGACTAAATATTGGAATGTCTAGTGATGTTGTAAAAGATGTATAAATCGTTATTATTGAATGTTAATTAATTCCAATATTTAGAAATTAACGAAATGAGAAAACAACAACACGGGGCATTTTAATCGTTACTTACACGTTTTGCCACTTGAAAGACTTATTGTTTTAAGGATTTCATGTTCATTTAGTTTTCTAGTCTTCATGGAATCTCATTTGTTTGTAATACATTTGATAAATTTATTTCTAGATATTAAAATATTAGTTTCACTGACTTTAAGCATAATTAAATCAAACGCAATGCCAGAGTCAACTTGTAGACTTTTCAACGATAGGAAATAAGATTTTTTTAATATTATTTTTCATCTATTTTGTTACTCATTTTCATAGAAAAGTAATTAGACTTTATCCGACACTTCGGTCTCGCGCCTGACGTAGGAATTCTATGTTCAGAGGTTGTATTGTTTGGCCGAAAATTCGCATGAATGTTTTATTTATTTATCTGTTATGTTGAATTGTCGAGTCTACGTTAATATAATTTTTGTTAATAAATACATTTTTCTATTATTATATCTATCATTACTCAAATTGAATTCGAATGATGTCAGCATGGTGTTGCCGTAGTTGTCGCGCATGCCATAAATTGGATGTAATCTGGTGAGTTACCAAATACAGTAAAATGGATGTGGTTTCTTTATTATTTTGATATTAAGCGGCAGGATGTTCAGTTACAAATAACACTTAAACTATTTTAGGAAACTTATTGGATGAAACCGAAGTTCTAGATTGGATGGTTAGTCAAAAAGAAGATGAAAGTATAGAAGAAATAGACAGAGACAAATTGTTTAAATATATTGAGACGAAAGAGTTCTTAGCCGTTGTATTTTGTAAGTATTGATCCTAAATATGTCACTATCCATTCCTAATTTAAAATAATATTTATACGTTTTATTTGTAGACAAAGAAGAGGATCCTTTGAGTCCTAGAATTCTAAGACATGTAGAATTAATTGACGATGAAGCTGCTGAGTATGGTATAAAAGTAGTTAAATGCAGTGACCGCTTGATGGCAAAAAAATATGGATTTAGGAATCCTCCAGGCATAACTTACTTTAGAAAAACGAAGTATATCAATTACGATGGGGATATGGATGATGAAGAAGAAATATTAGACTGGCTTACCAATCCAGAAAACATGGAGCTTACAGATCATATTGAAAAGGTCAACCAGAAAATGTTTCAAAAAATAAGGCAGACATCAGACTATGTAGCCGTATTCTTTTGTGAGTATTTTGTTACATAATGTTTTATGAGCATACTTTTTACGATATATCTGTTTCACTAATTTGGCTTTTCTAAAATTTTATTTGTATTTCATATATTACATGTTTTAGACAGTAATGACTGCAAACAGTGTCCAAAAGTACTGCTTGAAATTGAACACATCGATGATGACGCGGATGCTGCTGGTATAAATTTCGTGAAAATTGATGATCGTCAGATGGCCAAGGAATTTGGAGTGTTTGCACTGCCCGCTGTGTTGTTCTTTAAGTTAGGATCAAAAGATCCTGTTATATTTGCAGGTATTTCAGTTAAAAAAAATATTATGTGTTTATTAATTATTATTTAGAGAAGCACAATTATTAAAAATACGTTACAGGTGACCTATACGACGGCCAACAACTACTGAGTTGGTTGCTTACGCAAAAAAATCCAGCAGGAGACGTCATAGAAGCCTACGAAGGTCAAGAATTACTGGATTTAATAGAGGACTCCCCTTCTATAGCGGTGTATTTCTGTAAGTCGTTTAGCATTAACTTAGCAGATACACATAAATAAGCTAAATATATTACTAAAATTATTTATTTTATTTATATATATGTATTTTTAAAATATTACTTTATAATTTACAGTTTAACCAAAAAAGAAAGATTTCAGATAATATTTTTACATTTAATCTATACTCATGTAATAAAATTTCAATTTATAACAAACATAACATTTCTTACTTTTCATTAGGGAATAAAACATTGTGCGAATTGTGCAATGCTAAAGCAACGAAAAAGCCGAAAAAGAGTATTAGAGAGCACGACGACGACGAAGGGCAGGAGATAGACGGTACTCCTATCCCTAGACATAAAATATATGTCTGAAATTGAAATGATCCGTCCTGACTTGATATCATGTCCTCTGTTGCATGTCGCATGTCTGTCACATTAGTATCCTAAAAGCACTTCGTCTGATTCGCACTTGAGAACTTTATATACAGTAGATAATTTGTTTTCATGTTTTTTATTCGGAACTATAAAATTTCGGTTTCATTCCGATATTTACAGTTTATTTAGTGCAAGCCCATATATACGTATTGTTTGTATATTAAAACACTTTAAAAACTCATTTTAGACCCCTCGATAGTAGAATTTGCATTAGACATTGTCACTCGTCCCTGCATCTTGTTTGATAAACACGTGTACTTACATATCATATAATGATTCATTTAATTTTAGATTCTCTCGATTGTGAACAATGTACCGGCATTCTGGAAGAACTAGAGAATATTGACGATGATTGCGATAGACATGGAATTAAATTCGTCAAGACTCAAGATTACTCTATAGCAGAATCTTATGGCGTTACTGACTTCCCAGTCCTAGTTTATTTTGAAAGTAATATACCAAATGTTTATGAAGATTCTTTAGCGGAAGAGGAAGAAGTACTTCAATGGCTGATTACTCAAAAAACAGAAGATCGTATTGAACTCATAACAAGGGTAATGCTTGAGAAAATGGTGGAAGAGACTCAGTATCTGGCTGTTTATTTCTGTAAGTACCTATTTAATACCATATATATATATACGTTCTATTTAGTAGTTTTAAAGGTGCACTTCACTGTACGCCGTGATGCGATTTGGTCGCATCGATGTTGCTCATACATCTTTTTAGTTGAGTTAGAAAGTATTATTACGATGGACATTGACAACTATTGTGTTTGATATTCTTTTTCCATATGTCTTGTTTCATGTAGATAGGACGGATTTTGAAAACCGTTCATCTGTTGAGAAGTGAGACCCATGGACGATTCAAGCTTTTGGTGCACCAGCTCAATAGATATACATATGCTAGACGATTGTATATCATCATACCGGATTACATCGTATGTAAAACAGTTATTATATATTTATTGCTATTTTCATTTCAGACAAATTAAACTGCCACATATGCGACCACATACTTGAAGAGTTAGAAAAAATTGACGATGAATGTGACGTATATGGTATACATATGGTAAAAATTCAAGATCCTCAGCTTGCCAAAAGATATTCGATAAAGACTTTCCCCGCAATGGTATATTTCAGGTGAAATTTTTATTTATATACTTCACATTGTTATCACAATATTTAATTGCTTTTAAAATTAATATGTAGTTTACGATTCAAATATTGTTATATTTTATAGGAACGGAAACCCTCTTCTTTTTGAAGGTGACTTGCAAAACGAAGAGTCTATTCTTGAATGGTTAATCGATGATGACAATCGCGAATTAGCGGATGAGATAGAATCTGTGAACGACAGAATGCTTGATCGGCTGTTGTACGAATCCCACCTACTTGCTGTACTTTTCTGTAAGTAATACAATAATGTATTTTAAATTAAAAAATTAAGTAAAATCTTAATTAGAACGCAGCGTTAACCTCGTGGTAACGCGCTCGCTTGGGAAACCGAGTGAAATGGGTTCAAATCCCAGTCACGCACCTCTGATATTCTCATGTCCGAATCATTTCCAACATGATTATTGCTTTTCTTATGGTGAAAACATCGTGAGGAAACCTTCATGTCTGAGTGAAACTAGCAAGTTTTTGAAAGACATGTGAAGTCCGCCAGCCTCTACTTGGCCAGCGTGGTGGAACAAAACTGTATAAAAATATTTTATAATCTAGATATGAAGTCTCATAAGTGCAAGCATTTCATACGTAGAACTATTTGTATAGTAACAAAAAATCTTTTATGTCTTTGTCATAGAAAATAACTATTTATTCATGGTTATATAGAAAAGAATAATTAATTATCCAATAAAACATTTACTATATCTAAATCCACAGATGACGAGGAAGATTGTCAAGACTGTCAAGATATTCTTGAAGCTCTTGAACAAATAGATGGCGAAGTCGATCAATATGGCATTGATTTTGTTAAAATAGCAAGCCCAGAAGCAGCTGCAAAGTACAACATAATTAATATACCTTCACTTGTATACTTCCGTAAGCAAACACCGATGTTCTATGACGGAGATTTACATCAAGTGGACAGAGTCCTACAGTGGTTGACATCGCAAGAGGTTTTTGAATTGAAAAATGAAATCGAGGAGGTTAACAGGAAAATGTTAGACAAGCTTTTAGAGGAAAATGAATTTCTTGCTGTTTATTTCTGTAAGTCTTCTTGTGAGGTCTTCTCTGGTTTTGGACAATAGTTAATTATATATTTATTGTTTTAATTATTTTATTTCTATAAATCTACTATATAGTATATGGAACTTATAATTACGAAGATGTTTAAAGAATTTTTTTTATTTTATAGATGAAAATTCTGCGGAAAGTCGTATTGTACTTGACAAATTAGAAAATATTGACAGCGAGACTGATAACTTGGATATAACTTTTGTAAAGATGCACGATATTCGCTACGCCCGAAAATGGGGTGTTACAAAAATGCCAGCTATTGTCTACTTCAGGAAACGCTTCCCTAGTATTTATAGAGGTAAAATTCCATGAACATTCAAATTATACTAATAGATTTTATGATTTTATTTTTAACTATAAATAAACAAAACATTGCTCAAATACTACTGCCAAATAATTTCTTTTTTTCCTTTTTCCAGGTGACGTAATGGAAGAAGGTGAAGTATTAGAATGGCTAAGGAAGAATAGATTTAGACAACCAGAATTAAACATATTCATGTACGCGTTGATAGCGTTATCAATAGCATTCGTGATGTACACCGCCTTCTTACTTCAATGCTTTAAGCCAGTCTCCTCTCAATCCACACAGCATCCGAAACAAGCGTGAAAATACCTATAGGGTTAAATAGCGACTATCGACTGCCAAGCCTAGGGCTTATTAGATATTTCTTTACCTTTCAACATACGATATATTCCAACATTTCTTAGAAGGAGAATATATTATAAATAATATTTATAACTTAAGTATGTGCCAAAGACCTGCGAATATTGTTCATTGTTCGCAAGCTTATCTTTAATAAAAGCAATCTCTTTATCGTTTTTAAATTATGACGATGGCTAGATTTCGCTATAACATAAAAACAGACTAACAATATTATGGGATCAAACTTTAATATATTTCGGTAGATTTTAGATCAAACCACATTAATTTTAAACTTGCGCAAATGTATGGCATACTATGAGTATGTCCACAATTTCCTTTTCGGTCCTGAATTATTCACTTCTTTTACACTCTGGTTAGTGAATATAGGAGTGTATCTAATATGGATACCAGCTTCGTATGCTACTAATGTTACAAATACTACTCTATATTGATTTTCTCTTTGTGGAGTGCAAAAATCACTTGTCAGTAAATGAAAAATGTCGTCCAAAATACGTATCCAGTAATAAATGTCATTTGTATCCTCTGCTAGAATAAAAATTGTGGCGCATTTTGAATTGATTGACATTTAAGACTGTAAATATTTTCTGGGCTACTGCCTCCATTGGTGTGCAATATCTTCATAACTATTTATGCATGCGGTTTTGCTGTTTTAATGTTGTAATTTTTATTGAAAGACATTATTTCAATGATACACTTGAAATATATCGAACAGCCTTTTTTTTTCTTCGCCATACGATATGGTCGTCCTTTTGCTGAGTTATTAACATATTCCAGGCTTTTGGCCTTTTTTGTTGATATTTAAACAGTTTTAATATTGTTTTTGTTACGGTTGAATGGTAGGTATCTTTTTAAATTATCTATGTAAATTAATGTTTTGGATATCTTCTTTGTCATTCCCACATGTACTAATAGATATTTTCTCCAGTTATCATTTGAAAATATTTCAGCAAATTGGTGTGAATGACGGTTGGAGTTTTCTAAAAAGACAAAAGGGGAAAATGACAAAATCTACTTCCATAACTGGATTGTTCCGCCATATACACATACCTATAATATAATAATGTAAACATTTATAGGTAATATATGCGTAATAATAGGTACCTTTCTTCTAACAGCGAGTGCTGTCCGAATGTAACGATCGTGTTATGCTCAAAGTAGCGCGCGCGGAAATGGCGTGTGAAATTGTTGAAACTTGTATATAAAATGTAAATATTTAAAATAAATAAAAATAGTAAAATATAATTAGTTTTTTTTGTACCTCCTTATTTTTTCACGTCTAATCATAATAGTATCAAAAAGCCTAGTCTAATGTGAATTTTGTAAATGACGGGGTGTATTAAATCAACATATCAGTGCAAATGATTTTTGAACATTTTCAAATATTTAATTAAAAAAAAAAATAAAAAAAATAACATTTTGTATTCTTATAACTGCATAAACACTTAAAACTAAGAAACATTTTTATGCTTTTATTAAATTATAATAACAGATATGATTTCATTTGCATAAAGAGAATAATAACTAATTATTGACGTATAAAACAACAAAGGTAATATCTAAGGAGGTTTTCAGCGCTTTCATTTTATAAATATTATACCTAGTCTTTTATTTTATGAGTTTGGCTTCGGCGATTGACAAAATATGTAATGGTACCTACTCCGGGCTGTACAAGTTATATAACAATGAAATATAAATATAATAATATAAGACTCGTCGTAAAGATGGCGGGTTGGATTCCATAACGTGATAAATGTTTGTTTTGACAACTTGCATATTTATCCTTATATTTTCATAAAGATTAAAACGATAAAAATACTACTTCTGTTGTATTAGCACAGATACAAAATACTGTACCTAATACCTATGTATTACCTAAAAGAAACAAACTAAGGAATAAAATCTTGCAACAATAAAATAAAGGTGCTACTATGCAACTTCATATTTTTTAATCAGAAAAGTACTGATAATATTAATATTTTAGTAATTTTCCTTGAATATTTCAATATACCTGCTTAGGTAATAATACAAATAAGAATTATACTAAAGTTGTATTTTTTTAATAATTTTAAAGGACGCGACTATTCGCCCAATCTACGGGTCTACGGGAAGCTTTTCCGTAACTGACCCGTGAATCCATTGAGTTTAGTTCAAGCTTTCTAATCCATTTTTAGTGTCTCCATATAGATATATGGAGTCACTCTAAAAAAGGTTATAATTGGTTCAGGCATTTGTTAAAAATATCAATATTCAAAAATCGGACCTAAACGAATTAGTGATTAAAAACTGAAAATTTTCAATTTTCTTACTGAAAAGCAAAAATGTGAACACAAGATAGCAGAGAATCATTTCATAACAGTAAATTACTAATAACAGACACCCCAAACTAAAAAAAGTACTTATAATGTTTTTTTAATTTTATTAATATCAACATCAATATTTAACAAACCTCACATAATTTGTTTTTGAGAACTTATTTATTTATGGGTAAAACTCAGAAGAACGGAAAATTTTTCAATGGATCTGAAAGCTTGTACTAATCGATCCACGGGTCAGCTACGGAAATGTACGTAGACTTGTACATATACCTACATTGTATTATATTATGTAATAACGAGATGAGTATTTTCATAATTTTTTAAATATTTCGATTTCTCAGATTCAAAAAGCTCTATAAGTTTTTTTGTGAACTTCGCATGAATTGCATCTACTTCCTCATCTGTTGGATCCAGGTTTTTTTCTATTTCCATCGGCGCTCCAACTGGAATTAAAAATATATATTTTTTAACAAAAACCGATTCAAAATCTCATAAAAGTAATGATCCCACCCTTAGCCTTAGGGGTTGATTTTATTTATAAATAAATATCGGAGTACACTTTAATATTATATGTTTAACGAATATGTTATAAATACACCGAAAAAAAATTGTGAAAGCCAATTCACAATTAGCGAAAAGATCTCGTAACCGGTCGTAAAATGACCAAAAAACACAAATCGAGGGTCTCCTTCTTTTAAAGCGGTCAATTTTGTTACTTACATTTTTATTTTCTTAGATTTACGCGAATATTTGACATTTAAAATAAAACTATCTTTTCGGATTTTTTTCGCGGATTTATTTGGATTTTTGGTTCCCGACGTTTCTGTAAAACATCGGGATTCATCCAATCACAACGTCGGGAATCAAAAATCAAAATAAATCCGCGAAATAATCCGAAAAGATAGTTTTACTTACATTTTTATTGAAGTATACATTATTTTTCAACCGACTTCCTCAAAAAGGAGGAGGTTCTCAATTCGGCTGTATTTTTTTTATGTTTGTTACCTAACAGACGATACAAAGCAAAGCACACCGACTTCGAAAATATTTGATTAGGTATGTATAGTAAATGAAAACTACCAATCAGTTATTATTTACTTCTTAGTGCTTTTGTTTGAAGTCCGTTTTTATTTTTTTGTTAAAAAGTTTTTATTTATGTAATTTTCCTATACGAAAGTATGATCTCTTCATTGGCCTGTTTTCAAGTAGTATTTAGTTTTTAGTAGCTCAATTAATTATATGTATGTACTTACATGTGGCCAGAGAAGGATATACAGATATCTTTTTTTTTTTTTTTTTTTATAGAAAAAAGGGGCAAACGAGCAAACGATCCACCTGATGGTAAGTGGCTATCGTCGCTCATGGACATCTGCAACACAAGAGGAGTTGCGAATGCGTTGCCGGCCTTTAAGGGACCTATAGACATTACTCTTGAAGAGCCCCATATTATAGCGCTCAGGGAATACCTCGGGATCTGTTTGTGGGATATATCTGTTGTATAAATTGAAGAGTTTTCATGCTTTTATTTGCACTTTGAACATTTGTGATTTCATTCATCATTGGACATAGGTAATATATGAATTTATTCGAAAAAATATAAAATCAACTCACCAACAGTAGTGACAGGGGCTCTTAAAGGCACAACCCCATAACTGTATTGAAACATGCCACGACCAATAGGAAAAATGGGCGATATGCCCGTAAATTGGCGCACTTTTTCTTGAAATTTGCGAAGTAAACTATCGCTTGGGTTGTTGAAGGGACGGAAGACATCTGTTTCCCCGAATGAAAACACTGGTACGAGTGGAGCTCTAAAAAATGACAAAGTTATATATTTTTTAAATTTTGCAGTAAGAATGAGCTGTTAAAAAATATAAATCTAAATTAACACGTGAGTATGTACACTAAAGTTTATTAGACTTTCGATCAAAGTTATATAAAAGCACAATACAGTAAAACCATAAACAAATTGTGGCTAATTCGTTCATGAGTAAAACATACCCGGACATCATGGCGACTTTAATAAATCCCTTTCTTCTATTTAAAATCACCTTATATTCTCCGGGATGAGAGTCGAGCGCTTCGGCCGCACCGCCTACTACCAAAGCTACGCATTTTCCTTGATGTTTCTTCTTGTCAAGAAGATATAACAAGCTTTCTACAGAAGATGCACAAGAGCCCAAGCCGAGTATCAAGTCTCTAAAAAAAGGTACTCGAAAGTGACCCCCTAACGTAATCATGTTACTGTTCATGCCAGGAAACACTTTATAAAAATCTAAAGCATTTGTGCAAAATGCGGTGAAAGCTCCCGAGCACACTACTCCATGAGGAAAACATGCGAAAAGGTAGTTTTTACTTGGATCCAAGTCGGTGGTTTTGACAAGTTTCATTGGGAAATAGTCACGGTAGTATCGCCATATCGACCAATTTCGTACCCATTCTATTCTGAAAGAAATAATTTTGTAAATTTATTTTTTGTCTTGTTTGCTTTGTTTGTTGAAGGTACAAAACCATGTAATGGATAAAAATTAGAATTCTTATGTCATAATAATTTTTACAAATATTTTTCTAATAGCTCAATTTAATATTGTTGAATTGTTCCCTGTTTTAAGGTAAATCTCTAAAAATATATTAATGTAAAAACTATCGACACATCCTAATTTCATTAAAACTTTAAACTTCCCACTACTTTATGAGATATAAATTGAAATAGCTAATGCAACACAAGGTACCTTAAGTCTAAGCGACAACTTTGAGTTTACTCGATCTTTTAAATAAATTTTAACCATATATATTGACATTTTGTAGGGAGAATTATATTAAAATTCGTCCAGCTCTTTTCGAACATCGCGCAGTCGAGCATCTGACAAAATAGTATTAATTTTTTTTTATTTGCTTCCTAATTGACCATATTATTACTGCTTATTAATAAAAATAATGTTATATATACTTACTTTCTTCCACCTTTATTACACACATCTAAATCCTTAAGCATCCAGAAACCATACATCAACGCTAGCCACCAGTACGAGGAGTACAGGAGTCGTATAAAGAGGAAACCACATGAACTTTCTCCAAACAAGACTAGACAGATCCAGAACGTAGCGGCTAAGGTTTGCAGGCGACGAGCCATGGGGAGGTGAAGAGGTGCCCATTCTATACCGAGGGCATCTGAAGTTGTGCTGAAATTTAATAATGATAATATTAAATTTATTATTATTGTGCTGAAATTAAAATGTATCTAATATTTATGTCATTTTTTTTTAAATTTAATTGCTTTACATATATAGGTATGTATTTTGCTTTTTACTGTTTTAATATTAAGTTATACTATAACTTATATGTAATTAGCAGAACCCGCGGCTTCGCTGGCGCCAAAACTACAAAAAAATAACTAAAAAACTAGTTTTCATACAAACTTTCATCCCCTATTTTACCACCTTATGGGATTAATTTCGAAAAAATGCTAAAACACATATTTATTTAATTATATTGAAGAGCATTAATACCAACTTTTAAGTAATTCTAATCATAAATAATTTTTTGGATTATATTATACCGTGGTTACCCGTGGGAATGAGATAATCTCCCGCGGTAAAAGTATCCTATGTCACTCTCCAGCCCTTCAACTATCTCCACACAAAAAATCATGCCAATCCGTCAACCCGTTTCGACGTGAAAGAAGGACAAACAAACAAACAAACAAACAAACACGCTTTCACATTTATAATATTAAGTATGGATTTCGTAATGTAGTCAGTACGGATTTTATTTTGATATTCATCCATTTCCAAATGTGTGCTTCAATAGATATAGATGTTCTAAATTTTAAATATTTATAAGAATAGATGTCGAAAATTTTCCTATGATAAGCTAATGATAATATATTTAACTCACGCTACTGACTGATAAGTGATAACGTGCAGGAAAAGGTTATAAGGTAGGTATGTCACAATAACTTTTAATTTACAATTTTACAGTCAGTTAAAAATATCATTATTTTTACATACACTAAACTAACCTACCTAATATTATAATTGCAAAAGTTGTGTATGTTTTTTTCCCTTTCACGTGGTAATGCCTTGACAGATTTAAGCGGGCACCGAGCTTTTTATTTTATTAGGGCGAAAATGGGTATCTATTTGTTATCACCACAAAAAAATCACATTCGTTATATCTACGTGACTCCTAAAAGCATGCGTTTTCTAGTGTCCCACTTTAGAAAGCCCACTTAGATATTTAATTAGCTTAGTAGGCTAACACATACAATAGCTTTTTAATGGTAAACCAAAAATATGTCGCAATAGTAACATTTTAGCTTTCATACATTGTTTATATATCAATAATAAATATAAGTACATAATTGTTATTGAGGTCTGTTTTAGACGTGACCTTATCTAAATATACAAATCTTAACAACCTTATGAGTAATGACTATAATTTTATAATTTTTCCTCCATTTAGTATGTAAATATTTAAGCTCCAAATTATTATACTCACAGTTCAAATTGCTTCGTAAGTTATTTGTCTAATTCTATACAAATAAACAAAATTGAAGTGTCTATTTGTAATGTCAAAATAACACGTTTTTACTTAATGCATAATATGAAATTATATACGGTATTTATAAAAAAAACATGTTTTAAAATTTTGTGTGTATATTTGTTTGTTCCGGCTAATCTCCGAAACGGCTGGACAGATTTTGTCGGGACTCTCACTGGCAGGTAGCAGAATTTATAAGAAGTAAATTTAGTTAATTTTATCTAAGAAAAAGAATTAGGGTCGCGTTAAAAAAAACTACCTAGGGACGCACCCGAGCGAAGCGATCGTAAGTGTAAGCAGTAGCACATGGATAAAAATTGATTGACATTTGTCTTGATTGACATTTGTCTTAGGTTTGGTTCTAATTTCATTCGTATCTTTCAGTACTTACAATATACAATTTACTGATATACCGGCATAAAAAATACTCTGCTGTCTGTAGCTAAGTCGAATGATAAACCAATAAACATACACGCTTATAATAGGTACTAACAATAAGTGAAGATTATCTACTCAAGTTTATCAATTTTTATATGCAAGTTTTTATCTTTGATATCTCGAAATAATATACCAAATTCTAACTAATTCGTAAATAACAGTTGTATTACAACATATTAGATCAAAAGTTAGTAACTTACTGAAACACATTTACGAGCGAGTCCATCGTCTTCAAACATGCGTTAAATTTTAACAATAAATAGAACGAGCCCACTTCCACATCACACACGGTCCGAGTAACGACTAAATAGTAAATAAGATAATCTTATGGAGGTAGCTATCTAAGAAATGTCGTATAAAGTTGAATGTTATTAATCATAATTACAGCGGTTCAACTGTTTATACCCTACTCGTTGGCGCGCTTTAATTAAATATACAACACTGATCAAACAAACATGTTGTTTTTAATATATAATGTCTTATATTTACAAATAAAAATTTCAAATATAGGACCTTTTACCCGACTTCGGCGAAGCCTATAAGAGGGTTATGTGTTTGACCTGTATGTCTGAATGTATGTATGTGTGTATGTTTTTTGTTCCCTCGTAATTACTAAACGGGTAGATTCATGCGTCGTTAGACATGTCTTGATGGCGCGAGTATCATAAGGCTATAAGAAAATTGTTAGATATAATGATTATGACGCAGTATTGCAATTACCTTGAAGGCCGAAGATTCGATTTTTGCAATGCAATGTATATTTAGTAATATGTATATTATATAATTACATATGTACCGATTATATATCAGGATTTCTCTAAGACGAGGTCGCTTATGTCTAAGCCCTAGGAGTTCAGTTTAATGCAAGAGCTTCCAGGAAATACTTATTTTATTTAAAACATTATAATATTTACTTAATATACTATCAACTATGTTTCTTATCGGTCTTTGACATAATTCAAACGAACAAAATAAACATGACATAAAAATGAAATCAGAGGACAGAGGCCCTTCTAAAAACATCGTTAGATAAAGGATGCTAAAGTACCTAGTTGGGAAATTCAATATAAGTACATTAAAATTACTATTGGGTAAAATCTAGAATGTAGTACCTACCTAAAAGTTGACAAAAAACTTACGCATAAAATCAAACCTTACTTTTTCTAAGCGAACGTGAGTTTTGGTGGAGATAGACTTTTTTCTCAAGTAATATAGATTTTTATATTAAAGAAATTTTTTTTTTAATTAAGTAAGATAGCAGTAATATAATATTACGATTTACGTATTCATCAAATTAAATAATGTAGATATGTAGTCATCGTTCACAAATCATTTGTAATGTGAACTTTAATTATTATATTATTTATTGGTGAAAATGGTTACATTTAACTGTAAAAGCGTAAAGAGATCTGTAGAACAAATAAGATCTATATGTCGATTTTCTGATATTGTGGCTTTACAGGAAACGTGGCTTTTACCTCATGACCTTGGTTTTATTAACGAAATCAGTGCAGACTTTGGATACTTCGCCAAGTCATCAATTGATACGACATCAGGTATCCTGAGAGGACGCCCATACGGTGGCTTAGCTTTATTATGGAGAAAATCAATGTTTTCCGATGTCACAGTCATTAACTGTACGAGTGATAGATTGGCGGCGGTGCAAATTAATATGGGCTGTCGTCAATTTTTGATCTTAACTGTATATTTACCAACCGATTCGGAAGAAAACCTAGTTGCGTTTACGGACTGTTTGGCCGGCATAGAAGCATTGATTGATGACAGTAGTGCGGAGGCTATATATGTGTTAGGAGATTTTAATGCACATCCTAGCGCTAGATTTGGAAAAGAACTACTGGAATTCTGTGTGGAGCACGCTCTAGTGTGTGTGGATAAAGACCTAATGCCAAGTGATACGCATACCTTCGTGAGTGAAGCAAACGGAGCTAGGAGATGGCTTGATCATTGTGTGGTGTCAAGTGCTGCTAGGGCTACTGTCAAGTCGGTGCACGTGGACTATGTGTGTTTATTGGTCGGACCACTTTCCCTTAGTAATTACGTGTAAAATGAATGTGGTAATAAGTAAAATTACTTTGACGAGCATTAACTGGTTAAATGGTATTAGATGGGGCCAAAGGCGAGATGAACAAATTAGTTTTTATTCTAAGTACTGCTGTGATAATTTAGGTTCTTTTAAGTCTATCTAGTCAATGTGATAATTGTTTATTTTATAATTGTAAAGATCATTTGTTTTTTTAATTGATGAATTTTATGATAAAATTGTAAAGGTATTGCAAACTGGAAGCCATTAATAGCGCAATAAAGCAAAATGAATGCACCGAAAAAGCCTAAGAAAGTCCTGTGGATGGAACTATCATGTAAAAGACCTGTCACCAAATTGCGAAATTGCATTATGCATGGTGGAGTTTTAACAAATAAGCCAAATGCGGGTGAATTGTATAATAACATGATCGTAAGCCGTAATAGGTTTAAGAACAAGCTGAAGTGGTGCCAAAACAATCAGAAAAAAATTAAATTAGACATGTTGGCAACTCATAAAATCTGAAAAGAATTTTATAAGATTTTGGCGTACTACAAACTCATTTAATTATAAAACTAGTGTTCCTGTGGCAGTAGACGGTATAAGTGATAGGAAGAAAATCGCTGATTTGTTTTCACAACCACTTCAGGGTTGATCCGTTGGCGACTCGTCAGGTGAGTAGTATACAGAAGAGTGACACGACTGTCAATGTATGTTTTTACTGCTGAGGACGTGGCTTCGGTAGTAAGCAAAATGAAGAGAGGTAAGTCTCCAGGTTTAGATGGTTTAGGTATAGAACATATATGTATGCTGGTGATGAGATATATAGGGTACTAGCCAGCCTTTATAGTCCTATGTATGAATGTTGGTTACCTACCGAACAACTCATGAAGACTGTGGTAGTTCCTATTCCTAAAAACAAAACAGGCGACCTTTCTAGTACCAAAAAATTATAGGCCGATTTCGTTAGGAACTATATTAGGAAAGATACTAGAAAGACTCATCTATTCGGATGTAAAAGAGATATAAGTTGAGTGATGCTCAGTTTGGTTTTCGTTCTGGTCTTTCAACAGACTCGGCAATTTTCAGCTTGAAGGCAACGGTCAACCACTATATTAATAGGGGCACATCTGTATATGCTGCTTTTTTGGACCTGAGTCGTGCCTTCGACCTAGTAAATTATAATTTTACTTTGGGAGAAACTGCATGCTTCTGATGTCCCCAATAAAGACTGTCAATCTGTTGAGATACTGGTATGAGAACCAATTAAATAGCGTGAGATGGGGCGACGCGACATCTAGCGAATATAAGCTAGAATGCGGTGTGCGTCAAGGAGGGTTGACCTCTCCGGAACCTATTTAGCCTTTACATAAAACAACCTGATTGAGGAATTAAGAAGTGCAGAGTTGGTTGTCATGTTGGATCAACTTTGCATGAATAATTTCAGTTATGCTGACGACATGGTACTTCTTAGTCCCTCAATCAGAGGCTACGTAAACTCTTAGGCAATCTGCGAACAATATGCTGCTGATCATGGCTTGAAATATAACGTTAAGAAGACAGTTATGATGGTATTTCGGGCTGGCAGAGGTCCGGAGACGATTCCGGGCATATATTTAGAAGGGTTATTAATAGAGAGGGTTGAGCGGTTTAGGTATCTAGGCCATATTCTAACTGACAAACTTGATGACAGGGACGATATAGAGAGAGAACGCCGGGGGCTAGCTGTGAGATGCAATATGCTCGCGCGTAGATTTTTGAAGTGCAGTGATGATGTGAAGGTGACATTATTTAAAACATATTGCTTATGTTTTTATACATGTCAGCTTTGGGTAAAATTTCCTAGGCGAAGCGATTAATAACATTAGGGTGCAATATATGACGCATATCGTATCCTGATGAAATTGCCCAGATACTGCAGCGCTTCCGATATGTTTGCAAAAGCTCGAGTACCTGATTTTTTCGCGATAATTAGATCACGAATCGCTTCATTTTGGAATCGTTTGAGAGTCTCTAACAACGAGATCCTTGCGAAGTTGGTAAAAACTTTTGACTGCACGATTCTTAAGTTTTGGCTTTCGGTGCATCAGGAGGCTAATAAAAAATAGATTCTTATAGATTTAGTAGTAATGGCCTATATACTCCACAGCGATATATTGTTTTTAATTCTAGTTTAATTTAATGAAGAGTCTGACTGAATTTTGTTTTTATAATGTTTTTATTGACTTGCATATATATGCATAAGTGATATAAAAATTGACTTGTATAACTACATATATGTTATTATATTATAAATTGGGTGTATACCTTTGCAATAAAATATTATTATTATTATTATTTAATCCTTTGCAGTTTTGCCGATATCAGTCATTGAGTTGTTTGTAGTAATAGATACATAATTGTATTTGATATAACTAATAATAACATATTATGTACAATACATCAATGATAGTACATATTTACTCAATAATATTCAAAATTACATAACGTATAATAATAATAAAAAAACTCAATTGCGTAATTTTTTAAAAATATTTATTAATATCCATATATCCTATTAGTGGTTCAGTGGTAACGCGCTCGCATGGGAAACCGAATGAAACGGGTTCAAATCCCAGGTCTCACACCTCTGATATTTTCACGTGCGAATCATTTCCAACATGATTACCACTTGCCTTACAGTGAAGGATTCATCGTGAGGAAACCTGCATGTCTGAGAGAACCTAGCAAGTTTTCGAAAGATATGTGAAGTCCGCCACCCTGCACTTGGCCAGCGTGGTGGACTACGGATCCCCCTCGTATTGAAGGGAAGGCCCGTGTCTAGCAGTGGGATATTAAAAAAGGGCTGAATATTACATACATATGTATATTTTATGAGACTCGCGTTCTCAAGTCGAGTCTAAAGACGTATGAATCATCGATTAAAAAAACAAAAGCGATTAAACCGTTAAGTAATTACGAGGGAACGTAGGATCGAACATACATGCATACTTTTAAGTCAAACACATAACCCTCCTTTGGGTTTCGTCGCAGTCGGGTAAAAATATTAAAATTCTTCTTTATACTTACGAGTATACCAAATTCATACATTAAATGAATGACAACATTTTACGTCGGTATAATATTTTTATAAGTATTAACTTATAACGAATATAATTAATATAACTAGGTACTATAAATTCATACTAATATAAATGTGAAAGTGTGTTTGTTTGTCCTTCTTTCCCTTTTTTCCGCGGGAGATTATCTCATTCCCACAGGAAAACACGTTATATATAATACAATGCAAAAAAATATTTATGGTCAGAATTACTTAAAACTTGGTATTAATGCTTTTCAATGCAATTAAATAAATATGTGTTTTAGCACTTTTCAGAATTCGGGAGGTAGGACGAAGATAGGGGTTAATTTGGGGGTGAAAGTTTGTATGAAAGTTGAAACCCACCTTTTAACAAAAATGTAGTTTTAGCGCGAGCGAAGCCACGAATCCTGCTCGTCGATGTATGGATGTTTGTTACTCTTTCACGCCAGAATGGATCTGGATGAAATTTGGTACAGAGATTACAAATGCAAGAATTTGTATGTGTGTATAATGTGTGTCTATTTCTCATTGAAACGGTTGGAAATATTTGGATGAAATTTAAGTGTACAGGCTATAACCTGGAGTAATACATGTACAATTATCATGATGGACTCTCACAGTGACTGATTGTTATTTTGGTTTTTATTTTATTATGAACTCTCAAAAATATAATTTAACAGTGGTAGCCCAGGTCTCACACCTCTGATATTGTGCAATGTGCAGCATTTTTACATGTGCAAATTATTTTTAATATAGTTAATATCCACTTGCTAACCAGGCAAAGGAATACATTATGAAGAAACCTGCAAATCATATAAAATTTAATAATCTTTGAAAAAAAAGTAAAGTCTAATCCATATTTGGCTATTGTGGTGGTCTATGTTTAATCACACTAAAGGTACAACACAAAAAGGCTGAATATAAAAAAATAAAAAAAACTTCACATGAAATTCAATTAAATTTAAAATCTTTATTTGAGAAAATATAAATGGAGGCATGTTATATACATAATATAAATTAATTATAATTAAAAGTGCAACTATAACCATAAATAATATAATTTTTTATTAATTATAATCACTTTCAATAATATCTTTAAAATCCTTAATCCTGTGTTCAGTCTCCTTGATGCTTTCTTCAAGGTCCTTATGTACCTCACTATATGCTTTTATAGATTGATTTGTTTCAGTAAAAATATTGCGTAAAATTTGCAGATGCAGTATTCTGGAAATAAGGAAAGAAAATACTTATATTAATATTAATTCCATAAATCTATACATATAATAAAATTGTAACTAAGCCGAATCTGTACATTAAATATTTTTTGGAACATCTTATTGAAATAAACATTATTATTGATACAGAGGCCAAACCTATAGTTTTTAGAATTTTTGTCTGCCTGTCTGTCTGTTACCGCATCACAGAAAAACCACGTTAAATGTATAATAAAAGTCTGTAAGCCCAAAATTTTGTTTTTTATTTTATTATTCCTTTATTGAATAAATAAATTATAATACTCATAGATTCTGACTTAAGTAAATATTGTTGATTTTATGTTTAGAAAACTTTTTTAAGTACTTATCTAAGGCATCTAAAAGGCCTATTTAATATAAATAAATGATTTGTCATTATCATATGTGATAGCAATAAAATTTGCCTTTACCTTAGGTTTAGGTTAGAAAAATTAAAACTATACACTCTAAATACCATAAAACTAGAAAAATCGATTTTCACACAAAATCGAAGTAAACACTTAACAAAACATAACCTCAAAATGAGATTTTTAAAAATTCATAAAGAAAACTATGCAATTCCAACATTTTTTCTTTGCAGTGGATGATCTCCACTTCCCTCCCTCCCTCAAATATATAGATATATTGGGACACTTATTCTAAAGTCCTTCCTCATTCATAATTCAGTATCAATTTTAGTAAATATTTATTAATACAATTTAAAATTACACTTACTTTGATTTTAGTTCTAATATCTTGGTTTTAAGTGTTAATAATTCACTAGAACTTGTACTAAATGTAGACACATCATGTAATCTATGATCAAGCCACTCCATCATTAGCTCCACTTTCTCATCTTCTTGTTCCTTCAAAGTATTTAACTTTTCATCTAAACTATCTTGTAGGTCTTTTATTTGATCTTTTCTTGACTTTTTTCCAGTACATATATTCTGTTTGAGTTTCTCTAATTCAGATGTAAATATAGGAATTTTGTTCTGAATTTTGTTAATTATTGCTTGATTGAGTTCGGTTTGCTCATCAAAAGTTAATTCAGCAGCAGTTTGATGCATTACACCTGAAAGTTACACAATATTCAAGATCATTTCCACACAACTCCAGTATATAAGACATAGCAAAATATATATAACTATTCAACTGTTTGATTATAAGGCATCTTATATATTTTAAACTTATTAATAAGATTTTTACCTAAAAGCGTAGAGGTACTTTCATCAGCTGTGGTTAGCTTGTGTAAGCTTGAGTAATACGTAAGATCACAGTTCGCTATAATTCGGTTTACTTTTCCCACCAATTTAGGAGATAATTTGTTCTTTGAATCAGCACATAATTCTTTTATAATATTTAGAAGAATATTTTCTTGTATTATTTTCTCATCTGGACAGAATTCTGTTGCACAATCCATGCTGTTCAGGATAATTCTTATGTAAAAGTAATATTATTCGCCAATATATTATTTTATAGTGCAACTACAGTGAAATTGCGTTCCATAACAAAGTACAAACAATATACAACTTTGAAGTTTAAAATTTGAAATTGAATTCTCAGTGTTCACAAATGTTTTTGACGGTTATCTACCATAGACAACATAAATAAAGTTTTTTTTAAATATACATTATACATTTTCTTGATCATTTTAAAACTTTTTGGCAATTATTTAATTTTAAACGAATTTTCATTCCAATAAATTTTATTACTACATTAACAAATTAATAGTAATTTTAATAGTTTGCAGGTAATAGAAAGCAAGTACATATTTTTAACCGCCAAACTATGTCCATATTGCATAGTGAATACCTACCTAATATGCGTCGGATGCATCGTTACTGGGCAATGGGCACTATTCTCATTTCTCTATAGTCTATGTCATAGTAGCCCACAGATAGAGGGTAGAACTAAGGAGAACCAATGCCCAGACAGTTTTAAATGGAGTGATGTGTGCTGAATTATTGTTACTTGAAAATAATATGTAATTATAATCTTTATCGATGTTTGCCTATGTTAGAATTATTTTGAAAAGTACGTCACAACAAAGCGGAAATAAAATATAAATAAATAAATATATTGGGACATTACCACACAGCACCATCTAGTTCCATGGTAAGCTACGAGGCTTGTGTTATGGATACCATATAGTTGATACACTACACATAAATATAACTTTAAATACAACAAATTATAAATATAAACACTCGTGACTGGAGTACAAACATTCGTCCTCATCTCACAAATGAATGCGCCCAGCGGGACTCAAACCCGCGACCGCGGGCACTGCAGTTAGGGTCACTACAAACTGAGCCAAACGTGTCGTTAAATCTTTCTTTCCTTTTTATCCGACGCAAGGAAAGGGTTTTGTTTTTCACGCCTATCTTTGTATGTTTATTTGTAATGTTCTTTACTCTCTCATATCTTCCAAATGACTCAATGGATTTCTTTAATAATTAAGGTATTGTTAGATTTGTCTCATTAGTCCAAGTGTTCTTAGATAGGTGATATAAAAAAAATACGAGGGCTGCTAGATTCCATAATGTGAAATAGAAAAATATGAAAATCGACGAATTATGTCAAGAAGAGTATCGTTGAATATTTTTCATTTTAAATAACAATTTAGGATGTATAATAATTTAAAGTTGGTTAATAACCATTTTCGCTAATTTTCCTACTTAAAATTACTTAAAAAGCTGTAAATAAATAAATATATTAAAAAATAAAAAACCCGACTGCATAAAATACAAACGTGAATGTATATCTCGCGGCAATTATTAAACGTGTATGTCTCCGACTGCATAATACTTAGTGATTGCAATCCGGCGTCATTTTCAGTCCGGCCGGATCCGACCGGATTCCCATGGATCCGGTCCGATGCGGCCGGATTAATCAAATCAGGATGATTTTCGCTTTTCGGTTGAGAATTAACTGTTAATAAATTAATCAAGTGTCATTGTTCTTAATACAGGTAGTTTATAAAGCATAAAACATATCTATAATATAAAAATGACTCGCTGAATGTGTTGGTAAGCGCAAATCTCGAGAGCCGATCTCGCTAATTCTTTTTATAGAATATTCCTTGAAATACGAGGATGGTTCTTACGGAGAGAAAAAAGATTCGTAATAATACTTAAAAGTCAAATTGAACTTTAATAACATATTATAAAGTTTAAGTATTAAAACAACATATTTTACAATTTTTGTCTGTCTGTTTGTACCGGCTAATCTCTAAAATTGCTAAACCGATGTAATAAGGAGTAACTTAGGCTACTTTTATTTTAGAAAAAAAATAGGGCCCCTACGAAAAAAAAAATATAACCAATGAAAAATTCAATAATATCCGATTCAAATAGGGAAGTTGTATACATATCCTAGGGATGAACCCGAGCGAAGCGGGGGCGAGTCGCTAATATGTATATAAAATCAACTTTATTTCCAATTCAATAACGAGCAATTAAATAAAATCTAATAGAGTAGATAACTAGTAAAATTTTAACGACATAACGAGTACCTAGTTCAGTCTTAATAGTTTTCACTTTCACAGATAGATCAATTATTTTACTACGCGCAACGCATTTAAAGTACCTACTCCTGCAACAGCTCTATTATTTTGCCAAAAATTGCTAGTACCGGATCCGGTATATTGGTACCGGATCCGGTAGACGTTTAATGATGCCGGATCCACCGGATTACCGGATCCGTTTTTCCGGATTGCTATCCCTAATAATACTATATTCCTTCGTGATTTTGTTTTCATCTTGTTAGTTAGCTTTTATGCAGTCCGGTTTTTTATTTTTATAATATATTTATTTATTTAATCACCATCGTACTCTTAAGTCTTTTGGCGCTATGTTTTAAATTCATGTACTTGTTTTCTGTGGCGAGACCAATTTGATGCTTGTCAGCGGTCACGTTTTATACGAGAGATAGTTCTCCTTAGTTCTACCCTCCATACATACCCACAGGCCACCAGAGTGAAGGGTAGTCTCTTTATCTGTGGCACCAATGTCAAAACTCAAACGGTACGATGTCAAATGATATGTCAAAATTGCGTCCTTTCAAGTCGTTGGACTAGTAATTGTAACAATATTGTGACATAAATCATTAGTTATTTATGGGAAATATATCAAATCATGGTTTTTATATGAAAATATAAAATTAATTTAATGTTATTTGTCGTAAAACGTAAGATGTCATCGGCATCTGTGGAAACAGGAAAGAAATGCAGCGATATGGACGTCGCTACCAATAGTCAAAACATGCATTCTGAATCTCAAAAAACGGGGGAAAATAATGATAAGTATAAAAACAAACAGTCTTCTGAATCGCAAGGAAACTGCTACTGGTAAAAAAATATAAACTAGTCAAAATACACTACGTAATTTTATTTTAGTACGCATTACTGTTATAATTTTTTTTTGCAGTGGTAAAGATAGAAATCTTAATATTGTTGAACTACTATGTGCTTCGTGCAATAGATGGTATCATGAATCTTGTATAGGATATCAGTTGGGTAAGCTGGTGCCTTTTATGACCAACTACCTTTTTATTTGCAAGAATTGTTCTCCTACTGGCTTAGAAACCTTCAAAAAGAATCAAGCGCGTAAGTAAAAATGATTTAATTGAAATAAGAATGTATGTATGTATGTATGTTAACAAATCACTGGATGTCTGATTTTTTGAAAAGTTTGTTCATATTATTTTTTCTTACAGCTTTTCCTCAAATGTGTGTCACAGCAATGGCAAATTTAAAACAAGAGAGTAGCAAAGATGGAACTAATAAAACTATGTTCAGTAAAGATAGGGAGATAATACCATATATCGATCAATATTGGGAAGCTATGACTACAATGCCTAGAAGGTATGATATTTTATTAATAATGTAAAATACTTTTTTAATTTAAATCTGAAATACTTTTAAATTTCATTTAAAATGTACATAAATTTAAAATGTTAATTATGGTACTTGAATTTTTTTTATACTAAAAATCAATTATTTTAATTTTTACAAATAAAGCAATCCCTTATTTTGACTTACTCGGTCCTTAATTCTTTATAAATAGCATTCTAGTTACTACTCATACCTCATGTTACCTACCATAACTTGGGGATTATACCTATGTACCTGGCCATCACATCTTTCGAAACTTTTCAAAGAATTGTATACAGAAGACTCGTGGTACTCAACTTAAACAAACTGATAGGTTTTTTGATAGACTAATGCTTGTGAGATTTGTGAATTGTGTGATAATGTTTTATAATATATGTAAGAATGAAAATGAATTTAAAGATAATAATTATAACATTAATTTTCTATAGGGTAACTCAATCTTGGTATGCAACAGTACAAAGGGCACTCATAAAAGATATCCAAGTACTTTTTACATATGAAGAGGATCCAAACCAGGGGCCCATGTTTGGTTTATTTAATATGGAATTAACAAATATAAAACCAAATTACGAAGCTATGATAAAGCAAGGACAATTGAAAGTCACTGATATGGGGATTGCTACTGGTAAGTCTATTTATATAATAGTCATTGTGGACAGCCGCTAAAATAGTCAGTGCTGTCCATTAGTCTAATCCAGATTTTGAAATTTTGTATTCAGTGGTAAAATTTTAATGAGAATTAAGAATATGGTTTATAAAAGTACATTTAATGGTACCTCGATTTTTTTTTTTCACTGCCTCGGTGGTGTAGCGGCTAGCATGTACGGCTGCACACCCGGAGGTCCTGGGTTCGAGTCCCGGGTCGGGCCAAGTTTAGTTATTGAGTCTTTCTGTATAGTAAGCCTCAGTAACAGCACGGAGTTGGGAAGTTGGCGGTGTTTCACCTTCGTGCCTCGGAGAGCACGTAAAGCCGTCGGTCCTGCGCCTTATCTCTCACCGGTCGGTTCGAGTAGTCCCACCGGAGTATGAGAGTGACGGGAATAGAGAGTGCACTTGTGTCTGCGCGTACACTTGTGCACTATAATATCTCCTGCGCAGTTGGCTAGTCTCAATGAGATTGGTCGCCGTGGCCGGAATCGGTCAGGAGAACATCATATGTTTATATATTGTATTTATTTTGTTTTACTTATGCTTATTCTTATATATTTTCTTATTGTTTCTCTGCACTTTCTCTTTCTGTCCCGCTACATGTACAACTCTGGATTCATATAACTCGGCAACTATTGGCTTGAATAAAAGTTACTTAGAAGTCATCCATCTCAATTTTAATTATGTACCTATATAGATATACTCTACACGCTTATGATTTTTATTTTTTACCCTTCAGTTACATGGTGTATAGTGCCAAATTCGTAAATTGAATTGAAGAATCACACTTTTAGTTCACTAACTAAACACTCAGAAACATTCAGTATTTTAATTATATATAGATAACTGAACGAAGTTCGGCCGAATTTCGGCCAAATTTTTTGGCTGAATTGTGGAAGTACCTTCTTTTTGGAAGTCGGTTAATATTAAGGAATTTTCAGTTAAATATGTTAATTGTTTTTGTTTAATTAACGAACTAAATATTCTACTTATAAATATATTATTGTATGCATAAGTATTTTCACTAATGTAGGAAATTATACAGCCGTCTAGGAATGTATGTCGGTACGAGCTTAGGACTCGGCTTATTTGCATTAAACATTTGCCGGAACGGATCTACGGCGTGTGCCTCCTGAGTACTTACAATTTGACTTTAAGAGTTACATTAAACGTTATAATATTTTTGTATCTTATACAGCTTATATGTATTTTTTAATTACCTTATCGATATATAATAATATGTGAACATTGAAAATAAAAAAATAATAATATTCATTTTTAGTAAGTACTATTTATATAAAAGGACCTAATAATACCTAGTGCCTAAATAAATCTATCATTCGAATACACTGCTATAGTTGAAGCCGTCAGCGCAAAAGTAGCCTTATTCACTTTATGTTACGTAGTGGGTTAGCTACTTTTGCGCTGACGGCCTCAGTTATGCATAAAATGTAGTTTTTAGGATCGATACAAATATACCGTACAAAATACATCTATACTAATATAATAAAGAGGTAAAGTTTGTGAGATTGTGAGTTTGTGACGTTGTAGGGGTAATCTCTGGATCTACTGAACCGATTTAGATGAAATTTGGTAAGAAGATAGTTTGAGACCCTGGGAAGGACATAGGATATTTTTTATCCCGGAAATAATCCCTTAGGGGGTGAAAATAGGGATGAAAGTTTATATTGGGAAGAAACTAGGGACGAACCCGAGCGAAGCGAGGGTGAGTCGCTATTTAATAATAAAATTAATTTGAAGGAAAATGTAAACATTTCGTTCGCGTCAGACTTTAGTAGAGATTGTAGTTATTAAAAAAGTATAATCGTTCTCCTTCTTTATTTTTTAACTATTTTTCTTGTGGAGTCATCAATCAAAAAAAGTATTAGATACACAATCCCATGTTAAAGTTCACTTAAAATTGTCACCAATTATTGTGTTTAAGTAATTATTCTAGCTGAAATAAATATACAACAATATAAATTAAACCATAAATGCAATGCTTAAAGTTGTTTTCACAAAAAAACATTAAAAGCTCAAATGTTCAAATGAGCGCTTATTCGGTGATGGTATTTTTTTTCGCTGATTGTGTATCTAGTACTTTTTTGATCGATGTGTGGAGTAGAAAAAGTGAGTTTGAAAATATAGTGACATCTCATTTTCCTTTTTCTGACATAAGTATTTGTTTGTTTGTTTGTTTGTTTGTTATGATAAATACATAGTACCAACGTTTTTTTCGGAAAAGATATAAAAGTTATTTTACACATAAACTAATAAGCAAAGCCCTATCTAAATACAACATTTGATCCAAATCGTTAGAGCCGTTAGATACACGAAATAAACTAATATATGTACAAGAATTCTCGTTTAATATATGATATAATTATTGCGTATAAAATTTCGAGATGAAGTTGAGTGAAAAATAAAACCGGTTCTTTTACTATATGTATAGTCAACTAAGCATTCTCAATTATATTTCTATATTTTAGAAATATATTAAATATGAATCCCTTACTATTTCGAAGGGTTCTTCAACAAAAACTTTTAATTTTACTGCTACAATAGCAAACTTTTTAGCTTGTCAAATACTGTCATATACTTGTATATTATTGAAATTGTATAAATTGTAAATTTTATTAAAGTTTCCGTTAAATCAACTTGAAGTGGATTTAACAGGAAGAAGTTGTATTTAATTATAATGAAGTCTAAAATCGACGTACTGAGATTATTATTAATGCGCAGACGCATATCATCCGGCACATATGTACCTATGTATAGAAGATGTATTATTTTTCTAGTTTTTGTTAGATCGCCCTCATTTACTTTATCAACATTAATTTGATTGAGACATCATTTTTAATATTATGTTCTTCTACTATATACCAAATAGTTTAAAATTAATGTTTTCGTTAGAACTCTTTGTTTTAAACTTTTTATAAAAGTACTAGCGACTCTCAATTCGCTCGGAACGTTTTAACGGTAAGCAGGTATAGATTTCTCAGAGATAAAATATTTTCTCGCAATCAATAGTATCCTATATGTTGACCCGGGGAACCAGCTATCATCATACTAAATTTCATCAAAATCTGTCCTGTGATTTTTTCGTGATACGTAACCAGACAAACAGATAGCCAGACAGACAAAAATCCTAAAAATTATAGATTCGGCCTCTGTATCAATAATAATGTCTATTTCAATAAGATTTTCCAAAAAATATTTAATGTACAGATTCGGTTTAGTCACAATTTTATTATATGTATAGATTATATTTATATGGGTAATATATCCTTTTGGATTATTATCAACATGCTTTGTAAATCGACCCCACTGATTTGCGTTCTTGTTGACACACAGGTGTTCTTATTATTTCTGAGCAAAAAATATTGAAGTAGGTACAGACGCTCCCCAAAATCTATTCACCGTGGTTATGTTCACTTGACCGAATCGATTATAAAGCTGGTTTGGTAATAATTATATTACCTACATAACATGTAGATATTCATAACGCACATCGTATAAATTATGTTTTATTATTTTAAAATGTGTATAAAAATATTTTTATATAAATAAACAATAATTAGTGGAGTCTTAAATTAATGAGACCTATTTTAAGCATAAACCTATTATACCTACTAAGTACTAACTAACTATATAAAAAAAAGTAATTTCTCATATGAGTTAATTAATATTTAGAGAAATAAATAATCTTAAACCTGATACGTGTTTACTCGCTATACCATTTTGTCCCTTTTTTCTCCTTTTTAACCCTTTTTAGAAACTCTGCATATTATTATTGCTTAATGTTTTCACCAGTTACCAAAGTATCCAAAAGTATATACTTACAATATATATATATATATATATATATATATATATATATATGTATATATTTTGTAAATATAAGATGATATCTATATCTATTTATAATATAAAAATGAATCGCTTAATGTGTTGGTAAGCGCAAATCTCGGGAGCAGCTGAACCGATTTCGCTAATTATTTTTTTAGAATATTCCTTGAAGTACGAGGATGGTTCTTACGGAGAGAAATATTTAAAAAAAATGTCTGAAAAAGTCTAAAAACAATACTTTTCTATACTCCCATACAAAAGATTCGTAATAATACTTAAAAGTGAATTTGAACTTTAATACCATATCATAAAGTTTAAGTGTTAGTGGAGAGGTTCCGGGAAGGCAAAACAATTGAGTGACGTTAGTATCGTATAAATATTATTGTCAATATTATTAACAAAAAAAAAATTAAAATGTATATGGCTAACGCTGGCTAATAAGTATTTATATCTATTTAAAACGTACTTAGCGACGAATCCAATCGAAGCGAGGGTACGCCGCTAGTTTAAAATATAAATAAATATTGTAGTCGTTACCGTTTTGTCGGTTTACTTGATATTACCAATTTTATACCTCGGTAAATTGCTTATAGCTGACGTTTTTTTGCTTCGTTATCGTAAAATTAAGCATGAACATAATGTATAGTCTTAATAACTGGGTTAGTTCATGCAACTAGGTTAGTGGGACTTTGAAGGTAATTTTACGACTTTTTAAATGGCTCATTAACGACATTTTGGGTGTTAACTCCCCTTTTTTTTCTTTCTTCAATCCAATATTATGATCAAGTACATTATATTAAATATATTTGTTATTTTTCAATGAAATTTTATTATCTATACCTACCTATCTTCAATATAATTTGGATCCAACATGGTGAAATACGACCGCACTATAATGTTCCATCCATACGATTTTTGGTGACCCTTAGTATCTTAACTTCGAATTGTTAATTGCACTCCCGCATAATCATAAATATAATGCTAAGGAACTATAAAATATTTAAAATGCCATCAAAATTCGTTTAATGGGATCAGTTATTAACGTACAAGTTGTTCTACATTTATAAAGCAATATACGCAGAGTACTGCGACATAAAACTCTAGACTCAAGTATTGAATAATGACATTGTTCTCTGATGCGGTGGTGTTTGTAAACACGGACACCG